CGAAGACGAAGACCTCTTCGTAGAATGTAGTAGTATCTACCACCGCCCGGTCCGATCCGATCCGATCGTACGGACTTTGTTCACGACGGAGTGCTATAAATGATAATTATAAACTGGACAAATTCATCAATAGTGGACTCGCGACTCCCGTTGTTGCCTGGGCTCACTGCCACTGCTGATTAGATTCGTCTATAGCCTCCAATATATATCTTGCAATATCTGTTTGTTAGCCATTACTCAAGCCAGTCCGTCCTCAGCTGCTGAATTGTGCAACTCGCGTTCAACTTTTCCGCGTGGTCGAATCAACAAAGCATTAAAGTGAGTGCGGAACGGCACGGAACGATGCGTCTTTCACTCGCCGTAAAACCACAAAGACGGCAGCTCATCTTGGCCATAAAAAGGGGGTTTATGCAGGCGGTACCCTCTGAAGTTTATTGCCCCATCGGGGGTGCTACTATTTTTAGTTCAATTTAGAGTTTCTGAGTTACGTAAAAGGTTGCAAGCAACATAATTGGAACATTGAACCTTTTCTGCTTTTAGTTCAATATGGTGTCGTTGGAGAAGCTGAAACAATTGAGACTGATCCATCTGTGCATCGCCCTCACGTTCTTCACGAGCGGGGTGTGCATCAACCTTATCCAGCTGCTGATGCACCTCGTCATCAAGCCCTTCAACAAACGTCTCTTCCGCAAGCTGATGTACTATGCCTGCTACTCCCTCTACTCCCGTAAGTACACATCTCTGTTGTCTCTGTTGGAATGCACTGACCGATTTGACTGACCCTTTCATTCCTTTTCAGAACTGGTCTTTGTGGCGGATTGGTATGCCGGCAGTAAAATGAGCGTTTATATGGATGAGGATGACTACAAGAAGTACGCTGGCAAGGAGCACGTGCTGCTCATTATGAACCACAAGTACGAGATCGACTGGCTCAACGGTTGGATGATCTGCGACAAGCTGAATGTCCTCGGTAACTGCAAGGCCTACGCCAAGAAGCCCATCCGGTATGTGCCCATCATAGGCTGGGGCTGGTGGCTGGCCGAATTTGTCTTCCTCAATCGCAACTTCGACCAGGACAAGACCATCATTACGGAGCAGCTGAAGGTGGTGTTCTCCTATCCCGATCCCACCTGGCTGCTGCTCAATGCCGAAGGCACACGCTTCACACCCGCCAAGCACGAGGCTTCCGTCAAGTTTGCCCAGGAACGTGGCATGCCAGTACTTAAGCACCATCTGATTCCGCGCACCAAGGGATTCACCGCCAGCTTGGCTCCCATTCGTGGCCTCTGTCCGGTTATCTATGACATCAACCTGGCCTACAGGCCAACAGATACGGTAAAATATACCGCTAATCCTTTCTTGATTATCTCTAATTCTAATCTTTACTCCTAATCCCGTCCAATAATTGTGTAGACCCCTTCCACAATGCTGTCGCTGCTGAACGGAAAGAGCGTGGAGCCCCACATGCTGATGAGACGTATCCCGCTGGAGCAGGTGCCGGAAGACGAGAAGGAGGCCGCCAAGTGGCTGCAGGATCTGTTTGTAGAGAAGGACCGCATTATCGACAGCTTCCTCGAGACGGGCAGCTTCTTCAAGACCTCGGGCGTGAAGGAGGTTCCGGTGTACGTGAAAAAGCCTCGGCTAAGCTCGCTCCTGAATTTCTTCGCCTGGGCGATATTCTCGATGTCCCTCATCTTCTCCTATCTGATCAATTCCTTGCTGGCTGCCAACTGGACGGCCTTCATCACCTCGCTCTCCATTCTAGGACTCTGTAAGCATGGGATGGTATGGTCACTGTCTGAACTTTATTTAATTGTTTTATCATCATTTCAGTCTATTGGCTCATGGGACAGGCCATCAAGAAGACGCAGATCAGCAAGGCTTCAAACTATGGATCGGCTGCAACCGCAAAAGCGAGCACAAAATAAATTAACTCTTATTTGATATTACAATTTTAGTCGAGGAGCCAAGCTAATGAACTCAATTATCTACAAGTTATTTTGTAAACCCATGTCACAACACTCTGCTAAACGGATAAATTCATGATTTGATTCCTCTCGGAACTCCGGAAAGTGGTTAAGAAAATAGGTTTTTTTCTAAGTTTATGGTTACAAGGTGCACTGGAGCCATCAAGTTTACGTATGTAGTAGCTGGTAGTTATAAACCTAAGTGAGCATTGTTTAATTCATAATGTATTTGGAGATTAATGCAATAATTAAACTTAATTGAATTAAATATTCAATTTTGACGGAAATATGCGCTCGCGTTTCTTTATATCGATAGCAATCCAAGCAGCTGATGTTGATATCGACGGATGGCCGCATTGATTCTTGTGTGTGACCGTACAACAAAATACCATATATGTAATATGAGCATTTTTCTGTATGTATGTTTTCACTCTACACTACCAATAGGCGGATACATTGGCATGCGTAGTTTAAATGTTAATTTTTCTGACTATCAGTCGTTATCTTTGCTGATACGGTTCTCTTCAAAGTGCCACTCATTTGCCTTTCTGGGCTCATAAACATAAATAATTATTAATAATGATTACCAAACATTTTCTTATCGATTTCAAATATAGGTATTAAAAGTGTATCCAAAGGATGGGTGAGCAAGAGTGTAACTTTTCCGTTATTCCCATTCACTTTCTGTTCTGTTCTTTTTCTCTCTCTCGTATCTCTCTATCTGTTGTAAAGATCAGTGCGAGAGAATCGTGTAACCTCGCGTTCCGTTAGCCAGCCTTTGTCTATAGCACTTCCCCTCTCTCACACATACACACATGGTGTGCTGCAATGGTTCTCGTTTTTTTATGATAGCGAATGTCGTGGGACAGTGGTAACATTCGTACTCATTGACTGATAACAGATGATTAATAACGTTAGTATATAGGTTTTGTCGGTTTTTTGGTGCTTAATCGTTAGGATCCCTATCGGCACGGGCACAGGAAACAGTTGACAACATTCCGCTCCCATTCAGTTGCTCAGAGCTGTTTGGGAGGGCAGGTTGCAACTTCCCCAAGATCTTCGAGTCGAGTGTTAATTCGCTTTTCAAAAAGTTCGCGGACATAGCAGGTACATACGTGTGTGTGTGTGTGAGAGAGGAGGGTGCCATAAACATTGTAGGGTCATAAGCATTCACCATCGTGTAGGCATTGGGAACAAAGTTTGAGTGGAGGCCATAATTAAGTTGATATCGAACGCTGGACATATTTATTAATTGTTACGTAAACTTCCTTTATGGAATGCACTTTATTTTAAACCATCCAATCACATCCCGTTTCCATTTATTTATAGATCGATATGGGAAAACTCACGGGTCTGGGGCGATTGCTAATTGCCGTAACGTTCTTCACATGCGGATTCTTTGTGAACATCGCCCAGCTTTTCCTGCACATCTTTGTGAAGCCCTTCGACAAGCGTCTCTGCCGCGGTCTTATGTACTATCTCACATACTCCTTCTACTGCAGTGAGTCCTATAGACAGATCAGATCATCTATCTACTACATATTTGCACTATGTATTCCACTACATACTCTATCTGTTTTTAGTTCTTGTCTGTGTTGCCGAGTGGTATGCCGGCAGTAAGGTTCGCGTCTACATCGATCCCGAAGATGAGAAGAAGTACTTTGCCAAGGAGCACGGCCTGCTGCTCATGAACCACACATACGAGATCGACTGGCTGACCGCCTGGATGGTCACCGACAAGTTCGGAAACCTTGGCAACACCAAGGCCTACGCCAAGAAGATGCTCCGCTATGTGCCTATCCTGGGATGGGTCTGGTGGATGGCGGAGTTCATTTTCCTCGACCGCAACTTTGACAAGGACAAGATCGTCATCAAGGAGCAGCTGAAGGTGGTCTTCTCCTATCCGGATCCCGTGTGGCTGCTGCTCAACGCCGAGGGCACACGCTACACCGCCGCCAAGCACGAGCTGTCCGTGAAGTTTGCCCAGGAACGTGGCCTGCCCGTGCTCAAGCACCATCTGATTCCGCGCACCAAGGGATTCACTACCAGCTTGCCGACACTGCGCGGCATCTGTCCCGCCATCTATGACATCAATCTGGCCTTCAAGCGGGATGCCAAGGTGAAGCCATCCATGCTGTCCCAGTTGAACGGAGAGACGGTGGAGCCCTACATGTACATTCGTCGTGTTCCTTTGAGCAATGTTCCTGAGGATGAGAAGGAGGCCGCCGCCTGGATGCAGGAGTTCTTTATGGAGAAGGATCGCATTATCGATAGCTTCCACGAGACGGGTAGCTTCTTCAAGACCTCGGGCGTGAAGGAGGTTCCCATGAAGATCTACAAGCCACGCCTGGCAACGTTGCTGAACTTTATTGGATGGGCCACCGTTTGTGTCTCTTGCATCTTGTATTATATGATCACGTCTTTCATTGCGGGCAACTGGATTGGTTTCTTCACGGTCATATCTATTTTGGGACTTTGTAAGCATATAAAACTCACTCCACAGGCGTTTATTTGGCTGATATATTTTTAATTTCAGTCTACGGGCTCATGGAGCATGCCGTGAATGCCTCTAAGATCAGCAAGTCTTCCAGCTATGGCGCTACTGGAGAAAAGCAGGCTGCGAAATAGAAGACAATACCTGGAGGTGCTGTACATAGTGATATACATATGTACACAAAAGCCGCATTTTAAATGTATATAACGTTTTTTTATTTCCAATTTGTTTTAAGACCATACTTTTAGTATGAATGCAACATGAATAGAAAACATTATAAATGAACAAATAAAATTGCCATAGAATAGAAATCATTGTTAATGAACAAGTAAAATTGCCATTGTAAAATACATTCAAATACCGATAGTTTCCTCTGATATCGATTACTGAGCAGGGTGACCTTGGCTCGTCGGAGGCAAAAATACCTGGCCCTATTCAGTATTCCGCCGCTCGCCAGCTGCGGTCATACTGATATACTGATTGCAACTTCCCAATTTTTTTTTATAAAAAAAAACGTCCAATGAAAATTAAAAAACATCTTTTCGTACCTTTAATGCAATAATATGTGCATTTTGAAGGTGAGTCTGGGACACGCAAGTGTTTACAACAGCCGAGGGTCATCATATCCGAAACTCGGGACGAAAGTGAAAAGTGAAACGTAACGAAAAAAAAGTACTTTGCTCTGGTTTCGTGGACTGGAGACTCTCCTGAAGGAGGTGGCTCTCAAGGACTGCCTGCCTGGCCTATATGCGGGAGCTGGCAGCGGCAGCAGGAAGTGGGAGTGGGGCACACACTGCAGAGGTATCGCACACAAAAGCCTTTGTTCGCCAGCCAAACCAAAAGAAAGCAGGGGCCCCGAGTAGCTGATGACGTTGAAAGCGAGTTACGTTTGTCCCCCATTAAGGTTGGATTACCTATTAAATACATGTGTACCCTGCGTACGTGTACGAGTGAGTGTCTTTTGCACTGATATGGGTGATATGGTGGCCACAGAGTGCTGAACCTGAACCTGATCTCCCAAATGTTCAAGGAAGAAGTGCAGCCTCGCAGCAGCTCGGTTCGTTTATGTGCCCATACATATGTGTGCGCGTATGTATGCATATTCTACATACAGCACATAGCCATACTTGCATGCGTGTACAACAGATGTGGGTATATGTACGTGTGTGTGTGTGCGAGAGCGAGCGACGACAGCTGACGTTGGGGGTACGGTACGGTACTACTCCTCCCACTAGTGGGAGTACCCCTACCGTGTGGGCCCATTGAAAGCGAAACTTTTTCTCTTACTTTTACCTATCGAACTAATTGATTTATGTTCCCTTCCCTTCCGTTATGTCCTTGCCCGTCCTTGTGTTTTCTCCTTGTGTGCAGCATGCCGATTCAGGCTCCCTCATGGACAGACTTTCTGAACTGTCCCATCTGCGGCAATGAGTTTGCGGCCAGTCAGCGGTTCCCCATCAGCTTGGGATGTGGGCATACCATTTGCAAGCTCTGCCTGACCACCCTCTACAATCGGCAATGTCCCTTCGATCAGGTAAGCACGATACCCCCATACACCTCAAAGGATGCCAACCCTTCGATACTATAATACAAATTAATCTCTTGCAGACCCAGATTGTCACCGACATCGACAATTTGCCCACTAACCATGCTCTGCTCCAGCTGGTGGCCAAGGGTCCGGGTCCAGGTCCGGGTCCGCCCGGCAAGGACTCGGTGGAGCCTTCTGTGGACTTTTCACAGCATGCGCCACCCAGTGTGCAGAAGCTCGATCCGGAGCAGCTCAAGTGCTACAAGCTCGGGAAGCAGTGCATCGAGGATCTGGCCCTGCACCTGAAGTCCTTCCTCAACCTCAACAACGGTAACCTGCTGACGCGACCCATGCAGCGCAAGCTGGTGACGCTGGTCAACTGTCAGCTGATGGAAGAGGAGGGACGCGTGCGGGCATTAAGAGCGGCCCGTTCGTTGGGTGAGCGCACCGTCACCGAGCTGATCCTACAGCACCAGAATCCCCAGCAGCTCAGCTCTAACCTGTGGGCGGCGGTGAGGACGCGTGGCTGCCAGTTCCTGGGCCCGGCCATGCAGGAGGAGGTGCTGAAGCTGGTCCTGCTGGCCCTGGAGGAAGGCTCGGCGCTGTCCCGCAAGGTGCTGGTCATGTTTGTGGTGCAGCGCCTGGAGCCGCAGTTCCCGCAAGCCTCCAAGACGAGCATCGGCCATGTGGTGCAGCTGCTCTACCGCGCCAGCTGCTTCAAGGTGTCCAAGCGCGAGGCAGACTCCTCGCTGATGCAGCTGAAGGAGGAGTTCCGCACCTACGATGCCCTAAGGAGGGAACACGACGCCCAGATCGTTCAGATAGCCACCGAGGCAGGGCTACGGATCGCGCCCGAGCAATGGTCTTCCCTCTTGTACGGCGACGTTCTGCATAAGAGCCACATGCAGAGCATCATCGACAAGCTGCAGACGCCGTCTTCCTTCGCCCAGTCGGTGCAGGAGCTGGTCATCGCCCTGCAGCGCACCAGCGACCCCGCCAAGCTCTCCAATCTCCACAATCATCTGAAGTACCTGGCCAACATCGATCCGTGCGCGGAGGTGGCCCCCTGGCAGGACGTGGCAGAGGCCCTGGATGCAGTGCGTCACTCCGTCGTGGGCCTAGTTAACTTCCTGCAACATCATGGCGTACGCAAGACCCAGGACGCCATCGGCAGTGCTGGAGCAGCTATCAGCAATCCGAAGTACAAGATCAGCCTCTGCCGGGACCTGAACGTGCGGCGTGTGTGTCCCCGCGGCGCCAGCTGCACCTTCGCCCATTCGCAGGAGGAAGTGGAGCGCTACCGCGCGAGGAACAGAGGTAAACACATCAAGACGTCTCTGCCAGGACCACCTCTGATGGTCGGAGACGATTGTCAGGTTCTGGGCGTGGCGCCCATGATGCCGATGTCCCCCATGCACTACATGGCATCACCCAGAGGCTACCTCGACCCCAACGCCAACCTGCCAGGCCTCGGACTCTCTCCAGGAGCCACCCATCCCCCACAGCCACCACAGCTGCTCCATCACCCCTCCATTGCCCGCCAGATGAATGGTCTGATGGTGCCCGGGCGCTTCGATCCGCGCTTCAACTACGGCCCCGGACAGCCGATCGCACAATCCAGGAACCCCTCGCCCAGGGAGTACCAGGCCAGTCCTGGCCCCGTCCCCGTCCCAGGGCCCCCACCACCGCAACAGCAACAGCCACAGCAACGCAATCTATCCAACCCACCGAGCTTCAATGTCAATAGTAACCTCCACAAGGGTTATATGCTTCCAGCGGATGTGTTCCATCCCACGGCCTATGGCTATGGCAGCGAGGAGAAGCTGGGCCATCCCTGGGAGCAGCATCCCTACCAGCAGCAGCAGCACCAACAACAGCAACAACCACAGCAGCAGCAGCAGCAGCCGCCGCCGTCCAGCAAGCCGAATCCCAGCCGACCGTTGTCGATTTTAGCCGCAACAGCTGATACCTCATTTTATGAAAAGAAACCGCCGAATAATGTTAGCATAGACATGGACATGGCCAAGCCCCTAGCTTCCCTAGTTGCTTCTGGTTCTGGGGCTGGCGAAGCGGCAGGCGATGTCTTGGATGCCCTGCCTCTCTTCCGACGCACCAATAGCCAGAGCCACAATCACAATCACAGCCACAGCCACGGCCATAGTCAAGGGCAGAACAACTCCTCGCTGCTCTTCTTCGAGCGCTCCGATTCCATATTGAACGATGATGGGTCCACATTCGACATGCCCACAGGCTCCTCCATGCACAGTCGCTATGGTCCGATCTGTCCCAAAAACTCGGCGGCGAGCAACTGGAACAACTGGATCATGGAGAACGACACGAGCAGCGATCTGGGCTATGCGGGCTACAAGGCCGATAGGAATGATAATTTCAACAGCCACAAGGTACGATATCCTGTAATGCTCATTCATGCGCCTTAATTTGTAAAGTATTATGTGTTAATCTCATTCTGGTAACAGTCGTCGCAGATGTGGGGCAGGAAGCCGCAGCTGCTGTCGGAGGATAGCTTCGAGGGCGGCATCGACAGTGGGATGATGCTGCAGCTGGAGAAGAATCTGGTAGACATTGTGGATCCCGATGACAGCGGCATCAAGGTGGACTAAAACCTTAGAACCATCACACACTCAGCCAGAGGATATATACTACCGATATATCTACCGATATGTGCGGGGGTATATACGAGTAATAGTAATATGTATAATGCAATCATTTTACACACATCGTTAGAGGTTTGTACCGCACGAAGCCAAGTTCAAACTCTGGTAGAATTGTAGTCGTAAAACAGAACAGAACCCTCCGCGCTCCGATCCGTTATTGGATCGGGGCGGAGCCAAAAGAAGTAGCAGCAACAAGAAAAAAAGAGAAAGAAAACAAGAAAACAAACAGAGAGAAAATCGGGTTGGGTATCCTCTATTAGAATCTATTGTATAATTATGTAATTGTCTATTAGTTCATTGTTCAAATTGTGAATCGTCTTCGGCCAGCCGAACTAAATGTGTTTTTATCCAGATGTTCTCGTCTCGTGTTACGTTTTCAAATTAATCGCGGGGATTAGTAGCAAATGGAAAGGAAAAGCAAAGAAAAGCAACTCAGTCTAGAATATTCAATTTTGATGTCTAACCTAGAATATAGCTATAATATCCATCACCACTACCCCCCTACACCCCATAGAGATTCCGAAGGAAAAGGCTATAGCCAGATTTTACAACAAACAATTTTTACAACCGTCAATAGCAATGTCTACACCGTAATTAATATTGATTTTGAGATCAAAGTACAACTGAATTTTATGTCCAAAATCCATAAACTACCCATCCACCCCCAATTATTTGTGATCAGATTTTGATTGATTGTAATGCTATATACATAGATATATACATCATACATATACTATATATATATTTTTTTTAATTATTAACTATTTCAAATGCTATTTTTATATACAACAAAAAACAAAATCAGAAGGAAGGAAGGATCGAAAGTAGATCCTTTCGCTATCACACTCACACACACACACACACATACATACACACACAAAGAACACACACACAAACACACATATGGAGATGATCGATCGATTTATGTGTATGTGTGGAATGAATGTTTATATTTCTTAAAGAAATTTTAATAACGCTATTGTGCGATGTTGTTAACTATTGTACTATATATATTATTATAAATTTATTGAAAATAAATTAAAAGCATGTTCCCCCTCCCCCACACCCCACCCCCATCCCCTCTCTCTTTCACCCACACTTTGTACAGTGCGCGTAGAAGCGAGAGAGAGAGAGCTAAATGTCGAGTCAGGTCAGGGCTAGGCTAAAATTTGAGAGAACATTTTACACAAGCACACACACACACCACTCTCACTGTACTCTATATACTGCGAAACATACAAAAGAATACACAGATATATAAAAAGAGATATATATATGTATATATATACTATATATAGTATATAGAAACTAACCAATTTGCGCGCTCTTATTATTAATATTATATATTAATGTCCGTTGAGCCCGAGTTTTGCTTTCGTGACTTTTGATTTTGTATGCGAAATAGCGAGCGCAAGAAAGAGCAAAAGATTTTTTGTAATTTGTATTTGTTAAGCGATGAAATCAGGAACCCACATATATATACATATATATGTGTACTATATACTGCGCTTGATCCTAGATGAATATATAACATATATCTATACACACAATTATACATGTATTTATTGTTAGCGAGTTTCGATGCGATGCGATGCGATGCGATACCGTGTGTGGTAGTAGAATTCATGTGAAAACTAGTTGCAATTGAAACAAACAGATCGAAGCAATTTTAAAAAATATACCTACCTACATAAATGTTAAAACGAAACGAAATCAGAAACTACTATTACTCAGAAACTCAGTAACAAAAAAAGAGATTGATTTCGAATGTATTTGTCTCTTGTGAAATGTGAAGTGTCGTAGGAAGAATGTAGAAGAAGAAGGCCGGACGGACGGACGGACGGAAGGACGGACGGCTGTCCCTAGAGCGACATCCACTGTGTACTTAAGTCTCTCCATCCCGGAGGGAGTCGCTGGGCGTCCGTCTGGCCTTTGGCTGTGGTCAAGTCTCTTTGTTTTTTTTTTGTGTGTGTTTTTTTTTTAGCTTAAACCCAATGGGTTCGGTTTATAAACGTATTTGTTGAGTTGAGTTTTTGTAACTTTATGATTTACAACAACAAATCCCCCACTCCCCAAAAAAAATAGAAACCAGACCGATCGAACACCAACATTTTCTATATATACACACACAGACACATATATATACTATATATATATGTATATATTTATTATAAATATGTTAATTAAATGTATTTTTGGTATTATCACTCAATGTTTCTATCATAAGCAAATTTCGAGTTCTGTTAATCAAAAGCGACACCACACACACACAAACAGAAAAGCCTAAAAAAAGATTTATTTATTTTATTTACCAATAAATTTTCACAAAACTTTTACTTTTTCGATTAGTTTTTGTTTCATTTTACATAGATCATACAGATTATTGTTGGTTTTTTGTCTGATGAACGATGGAAGAGAAAATATGGAAGATGGAAGATAATGTGCGAAACATATCAAAAGCAAATGCAAAAGCAACCGAGAAACCTAACAGCAAATAATCCACCAGCAAAAAATATTTAAAAACGCAAAATCCACCAGATAGGCAAACTGATTAGTAGATTACTACAACCTGTAGTTAACTGAAGCAAACTAACTAACTAACTAGTTATGGACAATCCGATTTATATAGTATGCTCGAGATAAGACACAAATACAAATACAAATACAAATACAATACGATATATATATATATATATATATATATATATATATATAATATATAATAGGCGCTTCTGTTCCTCAAAACTAGGGTTAGTGATCCTTCAAGATGATGATGAATGTCTCATAGATAAAAAAACCAAAAATAAAACCAAAAAAAAAAAAAAAAAAAAAACATTTGCAGTAGTTCATAGAGAGCTAAGAAGGAGATCGATGGCTAATAGAACCATTTCAATATTAGATAATCCATAGATAATCCATTGGCATCTCTCATCCAGCGCATCAAATGCGTCATGGCGAGGACAATACACCAAATATAAACTCAATTTTATTCAAGCAAGCAGTCTGCAGAGATCTCACAGATATATACCACCATACCACCAGAAACCATATACCATATACTATATGTAGCTCAATGCAGAAGAAGAACAGAACTCTCTTAGCTCCCGATACTTGATACTTGAATGATTGATTCACCGATAGCTATGATCTGCGAAATGATGAAGTATGAAATGAATTGTTGTAATGTCTTTGATGTAATTTATAAGTTGAAGATCCTTGAATTGTGATGATGTGAAATCTACAGTTAACATGCAAAACTATTCCCAGTTCAATGGGAACGAACAAATGTCTTTACGAGTATATTAATGCTAAAACCAAAACTACTACTACGAGTATATATACCTATATATATGTATGTATAATAATGTATCTAAATACAACACTCACCCACAACCTACCAACCGAAACATTACGATTCGATTCGATACGATACGATATGATACGATACGATACCGTAAGCCAAAAAGATTGTATTTTACATGCATTCTGCAGGAACGTTGCTTCACACTCTTCATACCAATGATCCAATCATACCAACCAAATATCTAGAAGAGTCCATATGTGTCTACAATATGTGTGTGGAGTTTTTGATGCCCCAGCAGCAAGAAGAATGCCTACTCCTACTACTACTAGAACTACTCTTGGTAGCCAGTGTCCGCCTGTCCGTTATGTGGAAAAGAATTAATTAATTAAGATGTTAAGGCATTTCCAATTGCTGCAGGCAGCATTATGTAAAGGAAGGGAACTTTTTCATTTAGATTAATGCTACTTTTATGCCAAAAGACTCCCCAACTGCTCCTGTAGTGTATTTTCTTTGAGATGCAGCAATCTCTAGTCTGTGGTCTCAAGTCTTGTGCCAGGGTATGCCATGCTTCGGATCCCCCGAACATTTCTAGTTTTTGTGGAATGTAAAGAAATATAATGTTTGTTCTTCGATGTGCTGAATATTAATTGCTCTTCGAAATTCCCGTGTAAAAGTGTTAGATGTGAAACAAACTAATCTCAATTTTGTGTATGTCTGCGAGATATATTTAAATAAAAGAAACTTAATCGATATCTACTATATATTATCTATGGAGTAAACCACTAAGATATCTGATATCTGGCATCTGACATCTGATGTGTTCTTGTGGTTTTTGTGGGCTACTCAAACATTTTATCTTGGGTATACGAGATTATATGGAATCGAGATTATGATATGAGTTTATTTAGGTACATGCTGGAATATAATATGTTAATAAGATTAAGAAAATATTTTTACTCGATCTGGGGCTTCCAAAAGTCGGGTATATCAATCTCTTGAGTCTCGCCCAGCTCCAGCATGAGAACAGCTCCATTCTTAGCCTGTTCCATGGCCTGGACCAGATTTCTGGCACAGTCTTCCGGCTTCTGGCGCCTCACCCGGTTGAACATGTCCAGCATGGGTGTGTGGTACGTGAATGTCGTCTTGCTGGAGATGTCGTCCAGCAGGGGCGTCTCAGTGAATCCCGGACAGATGGTCACAAAGCTCACTCCCGAGTGGGCAAAGTAGATGGGATTCTACAGCAGAAAAGAGTCAATTGTAGCAACAGAAGGCACTCCACTGGAGACTTACAGCCATGGAGCGGGTAAAGGATGTAGTTCCGGTCTTGGCCGCTGAATATATGGCCATCAGAGCCGTAGGCTGGAGTCCAGCCACCGACGAAATGTTCACTATAAGTCCACCTCTGCCGCCCTTAGACTTGTCCATGTACTCCAGGGCTGTCAAGGTGCTCTGGATGACACCAAGCTGCAATAGGGAATCGAAGGTAAGATATTTAGAAGCCTATAGTCGCAGAGAATCCATCAGGGGATATCCCTAACCAAGTTTATCTGAATGGTGAGCTCCACCAGGCGATCGTTCATCAGCCCACTGCCATTGACAACCACATCAAAGTGTCCCAGCCGCTCAGCGGTGGCATTGTAGGCTGCCTCGATGTCCTCCTTCTTGGTGATGTCCACTTGTTGGTAGAAGATGTCCGTTCCGGGAGTGCCTGTCCGCCACTCGGCCAGTGCCTCAGCATTCTCTGTTAAGTCGAACACTGCCAGTGCCTAAAAGGTGGATGCAATGTCCATTAACTGGGCCATCCACTATTGGCACAGACGATAGCGAGAGCCAAACCCACCTTCAGCTGGCGCCGAAGCAGCTCTTGCACACACTTCTGGCCTATGCCGCCGAATCCTCCAAGGTAAACCACATTCTTGCCGGCCAAATCCATGTCGCTCTGTTGGATTTCGTTTCAATAATGGACTTCGGGTGAACCGCCTGCCTTGACGAACGCTGTATTACTGATAATATGATCTTTCAGAAGTGCTAACGACACTGCCAAAGCTTTTTCTATATCACTCTTGCTCTCGAGAGCGCAATTTCCGACTGGAATTTAATTAAATTAAATGCCAAATAGAGGCTTAAAGCGGAGAGCAATACTGATAGCCACTGAAAGGCGGAGAACTTCAAGAGAAAGAGATTACACTCTTTGCCGTGGAAGGTTCAATGATCTTTCAGAACTATCATTAGTTGATGTCTCTTAAGAGATCGTTTAGGAATTGAAATGGAGTAACCATTCGATAACTGCTTCCAAAAGAGACTTACACTATTTCGTGTTCCGTTGAATTTAGGTTGCGGTTACCATATCCGATCCGAGTGGAGACTTATGGACATATGGAAGTGCGGAACTATTGCGCAACCTACAGCCACATATGTATTTACAGATGCAGATACAGATATCCGACTGCCACCGATCTCAATATTAAGTTCACTATTACAACATCCGTGCGGTAGCGACACCACACACACCAAACGCCAATCGGATCGGATCGGTTTGCAGATTTCGAGGTCATTGTGCAGACTACAGATGGCAGGGCGCCTCTCGGGTTACCACCCACCCATACCCATCTACGCCCATCCACAGGTGGTATAAAAATGCTTTGGGGCGCCATCAGCAGCATCAGTTCAAGCGCACACTCTCTCAGATTCAGATTCAGATACAGTTTCAGCCGAGGATGCACTGCTTCATTTGGACAACCATTTTGGCCCTCCTGGCCGTCGCATCGGCGGCCAATGTTCCCCGTCTCCGAAACGATGACCAGACGGAGGCCAGAGCAAGCCAACAGCGCCGCTACCAGGAGCAGGACACGGCACGCGCCTTCTACTCGTACGGCTACAGCGACGATACTGCCGCCCGGGCAGAGTACTCCTCCCGCGATGGCTCCTCCAGGGGCTTCTACTCCTATGTAGACGCCGATGGCAAGCTCCAGACGGTCCGCTACGAGGCCAGTCGGGGCCAGGGCTTTAAGGCGGAGGCCAGCAACCTGCCCCAGGCACCAATTGATGAGGGAAAACCCCCCGTCGACACCGAGGAAGTGCAGCAGGCGCGATCCGCCCATCTCAATGCTTTGAGAGAGGCCCGGGAGGAGGCTCTGGCGGCCAGTCTTCGGGAGGAGTCGGAGCGGCGGCAGCGGAAGGAGGAGCAGGACAGTAGGATTAGGGCTAATTCCAATGAATCTGAGGAGCGGAATCTCAGCGATGAGGATGCCAATATTCTGGAAAGGGTGAGGGCACAGCTGACAGCCATGCTGGCAGAGCGTCAGCGATCCAACAATCTGCCGAACGACGATCAAGAGGATCAGCAGAAGAGGCTGGAGCAGCGATTGCAAGATCAGGAAAAGAGGCAAGACCAAAGACGGGATGAGCAGGAATCCGCTGAAGAGGAACAAAGGCAGAGCGATCGCAATCGCGATCGCGAACCCACAACCTCCGATCGCCAGGCTGAAGAAGATGCCCGCCTGCGCACGATCTACTCCCTCGCGGATCTCTCCTCCGGCAGCTACCTGAAGCTTGGCGATCTGCAGGATCGCTTGAGCAGCGGTGATCTCCGAGTCCCGGTCGGTGCCTACTACAGTCTTGTGTCGCCCAGCGCCAAGTACAGCGTGACCACGCCCACGGAGCTGAGAACCCTGCGTCCCGTGGCCCTCAGTCGCAGTTTGTTGGTGAGCAAACGCAACTGAAGGAAGGTCTACTGGATGGATGATATGATGGATATTGTGGTTTTGTGTGTGTCCTAAGAATAAATGCAAGACAGAGCACCATTGTGCCAAATTCGAGTGCGTTTTCATTTCGGATTTGCATCATTTATTGCTCAACAATTAACAGAAGATCTCAAAGATCGGCCAGAACATCAGACCACTGGAAGGTAGTCCCTCGAGGGAGTCTGAGTCTTAGCCTGAGCCTTGGACTTGGACTGGTGGTAGTTGTAGACAAATCCAGTGAGTGGCTGATAGACGTACAGCGGCTGGGATCTAACAGGGATCGATGGGGCGATCACTCGATTGATCTGCTTCTCGCTGAGCAGTTGATTGCGCAGCTTCTCGGCCTCGAATCGCTTGAAGAAGGCCACCTTGGCGGCGGCCACCTCGGGTGTATCCTGCACGGGCTGAGGCAGCTCCACAGAGCCAGCATATGAATCCCCCCCAGCAAGACGCAGCTTGGCCTGCGCATGGGCAGCCAGGTGCTGGGCCCTCAGAGCAGCCACCTCGGGGGTCTCCTCGTTGGCCTGCTGCTGGCTGAGGCTGGAGCTGACGCGGAAGCCCTCTGTATCTGCCACATAGTCCACGGTCTGGGTCACGCCCCTGGCATCCACGTAAGAGAAGGTGCCGCGCGTGACTCCGTCCGCAGTGCGGGTCTCGTGCTTGGAGTACAGCGGCGCCATATACCCATAGGCATACTGGCCGTGCTCGTCCTGCGTGTGGTACTGGCTCACGCTGTCGCCCGCTGGCGGGGCTCCGTATTCCAGGAGAGGCGATCCGCACACCAAAGAGGTTGCGGTGGCGATCATCAGGCAAAGGTTGAAAGAGTGCATCTTGCTCATTTGATTCGGGATTCGATATGGAATTTCAGATATGGTATCTTTTGGGGCGCTGCTAGTGTCGTGGACTAGTACTCGCTCTAGAGAACTCTGTGCTGCGATCGATTGGGGATTCTGCTTTTTATACGCGCGACAGCGACAGACAGGAGGTCTGTCTGATAGCCGAAAATTTGCAATTTCGTGCGTTCTCAGGAAGGTCGTCTGGTTCCTGGTTTACTTTCATATTCCCCCAGCCACAGCGGCAGTCACAGCCAAAGTCACTGCATCTGCCTCTGCCTCTGCCCTGGGATTATTCCTTCCTTCCTTCCTCTTCCTCTACGAAGGGCATGGGGAATGGGTATGGGTATGGGCTGGCTCTTCCTCTTGGACATGGTGGACTCTGTTTGTACATAAATATTTTGTCGATTTCGATTTCAACAAGTTCAGCATAAATTTTGGCACAAAAGCCGCAATTTGTTTTCATCTGTCCCGTCCCACAGTGGCCGCAGTGGAACGCAACATCAGACAGGGACAGGGACAGGGACATGAACAACTGTACAACGTTCCACAATGCTGCCTGCCACACAAACCAAAGAACTTAATCAGGCCTGTATTGTCAGAGAGAGAGAGAGAGAGAGAGACTGCGGTCTGGTCTCTGGTCTCTGGTTTGACGAGGAAGAGGGGTCAAGGAACCGGGTTAGGCTGTGTGGCACAAGCGAAGCGGATTGGCTGCCCTTACCAGTTTCGGTAATATTTCGGTGGGGATGTGTTTTCTGTTGTGGTTTATGCTGCTATTAAATTTAATTGAAATCAAAATTCACATTGCATTTATGAAGCGTCGAAGCGGAGGTATGTGACGGGTCCGTTTGGGGACCAAAGGTTGAGGTAGGACAGCCTCCAGGAGAGTCGTGTGTCGTCGGTCGTGGATTTAAGCTGCTGATGGAAACAGAAGGAAGAGCCCAAAGAAATTGTGAAGCGCCAAAGGATCAAGGAAGAAAACCCACAATGTAGATTCGGAATTATTTGACTTTATTTTGACTTTAAATATTTGAATTTCGAAATCCAGGAATGATGCATGGAATGCTTCACTGTATACGCGGTCCCACTCAGTAGTAGAAGCCGGAGGAGTAATAGTGGGGCCTGGTGTAGCCGTATAGGGCCGTAGGTGGCAGCACCACATGGTGGCTGCGGGCCACTGGCACTGGAATAGCGATGGGATGGAGGATCTCGTTGCGAACCTTCTCCTCGTGGACGCGCTTCAGGTGGAGGGCCTTGGCGGCGGCCACTTCGGGGGTGTCGACAACGGGTTGAGGGAGCTCGTGACCTTCGGCATGCAGAGTACTTCTTCCAGCGCCAACCACAGAGGGATGCTCAGCCACATGATGACCAGATGGATGCTCCGCGTGATGATGCTCCACGGGATGATGCGCTTCGGGATGATGGACAGCTTCGGGATGGACCACGCCATGCACAGCACTCCTGCCTGTGATGTCAATCGGATGTTGCTCGATATGGCCAGAATGATGCTCTACGGGATGGTGCTCTGCGGGATGGTGCTCCACGGGATGGTGCTCGGCAGGATGGTGGACAGCCGGATGGTGCTCAGCGCTTCTGCCTGTAATGTCGGTTGGATGATGCTCGACATGACCAGAATGATGCTCTACGGGATGGTGCTCTGCGGGATGGTGCTCCGCGGGATGGTGCTCGGCAGGATGGTGGACAGCCGGATAATGCTCAGCGCTCCTGCCTGTGATGTCAACGGCATGATGCTCGACATGACCAGAATGATGCTCTACGGAATGGTGCTCTGCGGGATGGTGCTCCGCGGGATGGTGCTCAGCTGGATGATGGACAATCGAATGGTGCTCTGCACTCCTGCCTGAGATGTCTACAGGGTGATGCTCGACATGACCAGAATGATGCTCTGCGGGATGGTGCTCCGCGGGATGGTGCTCAGCTGGATGATGGACAATCGAATGGTGCTCTGCACTCCTGCCTGTGATGTCTACAGGGTGATGCTCGACATGACCAGAATGATGCTCTACGGGATGGTGCTCCGCGGGATGGTGCTCCGCGGAATGGTGATGTTCCACGGGATGGGGATAGACAATTGGGTGGTGACCAACGGAATGGGCAATGCCCTGCACTGCAATCCTGCCAGTGCCGATCACTGAGGGATGCTCAACGATGTGGCCAGCATGGTGCTCGACGGGATGGTGATGTTCCACGGGATGGGGATGCTCCAACGGATGATGGACAGACACTGGATGCTGTACGCCATGCGAGGCACTCCTTCCGGCAGCCAGCTCCCGGGGAATGACAGCCTTCGGCAAATTGGTGGCCGCCACATGGAAGCCACGTGCATCGGCCAAGTAGTCAACGGTCTGGCGTTTGCCTGCTGCATCGCGGTAGCTGTAGGTGCCCCGCGTGGTGCCGTCCAGGGTGCGGGTCTCTTGTTTGGAGGACAGTGGTTCTGAGTAGCCGTAGGAGTACTGGCCCAGGGCGTCCTGCGAGATGTACTGCTGCTGCGTGGGCGTGAACACAGCCGATCCCCCGGCGGAGTAGACGAAGGGGTAGGAGGCCGCGTAGAGGGCCAGGCCATGGGCCGCGCTCAGGAATCCTAACAAGAGGAGTGGATACTTCATGATCTCTTTATGCTCTTTTCTCGCTGCTTTGTGCTCTGTTTGATGCTGCAACTCTTTGAGTTCTGCTGGTTCTGGGCTGCTCCCAGGGTCCTTTTATACAACCCGACACAGTAGGCAGGTTCTAGTTCTAGGTTCTGGTTCTAGGTCTGGTTCTGGATGGGTGCTTCGCCTCCCCCTCGACTCCCCCTCGTGACGCTGCTGTCCGATTTAATGGCCTGGCAAATGAAAGAAAACGAGGCGATCGCGAACTGTCTTGTCCACTTGTGTCGTTAACGGACAACGGCTGCCACTCCTTCTCCTCCAGCCCCATTCCATTCTCCAGGCGTTATGTCCATTTGGTTTAATTGTGGAGTGGATATCTCGGGAGCATGGCATCTCGCATCTCCATCTGCATCTGTGCCTCATGCTGCTGCTGCTCCTGCTGCTGTTATTCCAGAGCCTTGACTTGCCGCTCATCAAGGCCAAAGACCACATCTCCATCCCCATTCCTATCCCACATCTGCAGCAACCCATTCGATCCCCGCAAGTAATTGATATGCAGTTGCTGGTCTTTTTGTTGTTGCCCCATTGTGGCATCTTCTCCCTTTTTTAGGTACATGTACTCGCACTCGCACATTATGGACGGTAACGGCAACGGCCACGACGACTGCGGACTGCGGACTGTGGCACCCAACGGCATTTCAAGGTGAGTGAAGGCCAAGGGCCTGTGTCTCTCTGGAGTCGTGTATCTGTATCTCGTGTATCTGTAGCTGTATCTGCTCTGCTCTGCTCTGCTTTAAGTTGGGGTTTGGGCTTGGGTTATTTTTAGCCGCTTCTTTTATCGATGGAGGCCCCAGAGGCACATCTCGCGGGTGCTTAAGCCCAGCTGGGCAGGGCTCCTGCCTGATTAGGAGGCGGAGGTCTGGCCTTGACTGCTGGGGCTGCCTGATAAGTGCATTTTAATGTTGGCCCCCCTACCATGAGTTTCAATCAAAGCCAGAGCTTAATGATTCTTTTATACCCGATACTCGAAGAGAATGGGGGTATATTAGATTTGTGATGGAAATGGATATGAGTAACAGCCAGAAGGAAGCCATTCCAACCACATAAAGTTATATATTCTTGATCAGCACCATTAGTAGAGTCGATATAGCTATGTCTGTCTATCCGTCCCGATGAGCGCATTGATCTCAGAGATTATAAGAGCTAGAGCAACCAAATTTGGTATCCAGACTCATGGGCTTTTGAAAATTTAGTACCACCCCCTTACGCCCACGCAAAGAACGAAAATCTGTCGCAGAATGATTCTCTCTCTTTCTGGCGCAGTGTGAGCCCTCTGGTGGAGGGGAACTACACTAACTAAGTACCGGGTATAAATGTAGAGTCGCAGCTCTAGCTGCGGCCTCTCGATAGTTCTGGGCACACCGATGTGGATGTGGCTATTGATTTGGTTTACTTGGTGGAATTCTCTCTATCTCTCTCTACGAATGGGAATGCAGATAGAGGTGGGCTGTGATTTGTGAACTATTATCAGGGTCTTGGCTCTCTCTCTCTCTACTTAGATAGGGCCAGCTGCCGAGTATCATGTCAGTATTTATGACTCTTTTGTTATCCTCAAAGAGGGAAAGAGGGAAACTATTCTTGCAGCTTGAAAGGTATTAATTGAATGCATGGTGTATACAGAAACACAATGTATAGTACAGTATTATAGCCTATATTTCTTAAAAAAGAGCACCTCTAACTTCAAACTTAATCGTTAGCCTTTCGTTGTTGAATTTTGTTTTGGTTTCGGCCAGACCCAGGCCCATGACTTCATCCACGAAATAAATACCAAATAATTCTGACAGACACTAGCCATAAATCATTGTCAGGTTTTTTTTTGTTTTTTCCATGTTATTTGGGCTCTGATTTGATTGTGTGCTAAAGCAATTTCCTTATGATTTCCTGGTGACTCTTACTTTCTCTCTGAACATTCTTTTTCAACCTTTCACCCACACTGTCCAGTACAGATTAGACCAGAGCAGACCTCTTTTTCAAGTTCAAAGAACTCTTAATCACTTGAGGCAGTGGCACAGCTCTCACAGCAAGCCATTTGCATAGTCAAACATTGCTGGGAGGTGACCCCGACGGAGACCCCTGCTATGAGCTATGAGCTCACTAGTTAGGCCACCTCCTAAACACACCCACTAGCCAGCTAGCCAGCTAGGGAGCTGGAGCTCCTCCCTGGAAACCCATTACTCTTTCTTGTCTCTTGTCTGGCACTTGTTGGTGCGTGTTTTGCTGTTGTCCAAAATTTCACGCATCGTATTCCGCGCTTTGTTGTGGCGGAGCGGACAGAACCATAAAAATCGGCAGTAAAACTCAGCGTATAGCCCCCAGGTTCCCCCCAGGCCCTCCACCTCGGCCAGATATTTCCTCGGCGAGCTTTAAGCTCTTTTTCCCCCCATTCAATCCACTCAAAACAAACAAAAGTCCGAGTGAGACTTGTTGGTCTGATAAGACGTCACCTTTTTTCTCCGAGTTTCTTTGGGTTTGTTTTGCCTGTTTCTTTATTTTTTTTTATTTTTGATAAATGGCTGTGTCGTGTGGCTGCTGCCTTTTGCTGTTAGTTTTTGTGTATAATCTTTGTGGAAATGAAGTCATCGCTAGGTATATAGTAAATTTATATACCAAAAATATTTGGGGGGATGTGAGATCTAATCTATCTAATCTCTCTTTTGGTCTCTATCAGAAAGGTCTCTATCACTTCTGTCGTTATGTTTCTCTCTGCTGTTTTGTTGATAGTTTAGTTAATGTTGTTTGGAGGATGCGTGTGCTCATCGTTGGGCATACATATATGTATGTGTTTTCCACTCATCGAAAGCTCTCTGGCGTCCAAATATCACTCATACGCCGAATGGGCTTTGGTCTGGCGCTGCGCATTTGTCCAAACAGTTGAGTCTCGACATCGACAGCATTCGCGCGCGCCCTCTGAAAACTAGCTCGAAAAACATCCAAGAAATACCAAGATTTCTGTCACTATTATACGGAAATTTGCACTACATTTGTTTGATTCAAAATGTAAGTAGGAAATGTGTGAAGAACCCCCCGAAGAAATAAAAAAGATGGCTCTACAGTGTCCTTTTTTTGATTGTTTATCCGAGTGTGAGTGGAAGCTGTGCAGGATTTCAAGAGCATTCTTTGACCCACTTCCTGCAATCCATTTGACTGTAACCCAAATGGGCTTTATCGCCCCTGCTCTTGCTCCAGCTCCTGCTCCTGTTCTCCGTTTTAGTTCCGATTTCCTGGATTCCCATTGTTCTGTGGCATCGTTCCCCTGGTACTCGTACTCGTATCCTTCGGTATGTATGCGTGTGGCACCATCATCCGTCATCCCCCCTTCCCCATCCTCCGCCCTGCGCTTGCGCGGTCCTCACATCACAAAGTGATGTCATCTGGGGAAGTGGTGATGTATGCGACCATAGACCATAGACCAGAGACCAGAGCATAAGCATAAGCATAAGCCCCCCTCCTAACTCAATGATTTCTCTATTGCGTTGCGTGTTTATCAAAATCCCCTTCGTTTCCTGTTTGGGGGGGAGGCACCCAAAGAGTATTAATTTATGCATTCAGTTCGAGGCGCTAATATTACAGAGTGTTGTACAAAACGATATGTGGTGCAGCATTTCAAAAAGTTCCCTTCCAGCTATAAATAGTACGACAAGATGACCTAAATTTTCCCTCCAGTATTTGTGGTTTTCCATCCATCACTGGGCAGCACTTGAGGTAGGTTGCTGCCACCCCCGGAAGTCAATTGTTTCCTCTCTATAAACGAGTATGCCTATCTATCCCCATCCCCATCCCAATCCCCATATACTTATGAATATATTTCCCAATTAACTTTTGCCATTTTGGTTCAAAACTAATTAAAATGTTGGAAACGAATTGGCAATCACCCCGCCCTCCCAATTGGAGGAGAGTCGGAAACTTGTTCGTCAGATCAGAAATACTAGCTATGTATATTCACAGGCAATGGGAATGGAACGAAAAACAGAAAGAGAAAAAAGAAACAAATTATTTATGGTCTGGCGGCCAGAGCGGATTATTTTTGATTTAGACCATCCACGCTTCCCCCATCGCAGCGACCGGCCTGCGGTGATGTTCTATGGGGGGAGGAGGGTACACAAGTCGAAAAGAGCCGGAAACCCATCCAGGGATCCCAGCCTGAAACAAGGTCTTTTCATAGTTCCCTAGCTCATTTTTTTTTCAATTATTTTGTTGATACTTTCCCTAAATTTACTCTGAAGTCAATTGGGTTTTTATTTATATCAAAGCAAGGTGTGTATGATGTGAAGATCCTGATAGGTAACCAATCTGTTTGGACGACACCTGCGACATCTTTGATCTTTGCAGATCTGTCTATTCCAACTCCTACCCAAGAGCATTGCCACTTCGTATATCTTTCGATTCACTAAACTTAAACCTTTCCATGCATATTCCCAGCTCTTTTGTGCTGTAGTTTGTCAACTTTTTCTTGTTTCTCAGTATTTATGGCTTCCAATTACAAGGAAGGGCGGAGTAAAGGGTTCCATTATACTCTTCTCTCGCTCCCTCAGTGGACGTGTTCGGTAATTTGTTTCGTCTCCAGAGCTCCACAGCTCCAGAGGTCCACAGCTCCAGTGGAGTTCAAGTTCAATGACACGCCACGTTTCAGGCCTAAGAAGATGATTAATGATGGAATTATGATGCATGCAATGATCTCAATTGACCATTGCGATTGAATAGTGGATTAAATGGGAATATATGTAGTCATATGAGAAAATGGCCCCACCCCAGAGCCGCACTTTAGAATAGAGGCTGATTCCAGACCAAAACGTAATCAAAATATCAAACGAGCGGCGTAATGAGGCGATGACATAAGCATTAGTACTCGTAGTACTCGTCGTAGAGTCGAGTCGATTAGCTTTTCACTTGCGAGAGCTCATTATTCGGTTTGGGGCGGGGTCTTCACCCAGATACAGATAGCATTTGACATGCTCGACGGACTGCATCAGGGTCTTCGGAATCCAAGGTCAAGGCTGCCGTGGGGTGGTTGCCTGACCTTCAGAGTCCTGCATTCTGCATTCCACTCCTCTGCTTCTCTTCTGCTCTATTCTGGGATTCCTTTTGTTAACATCTGTCCAGGCCAGGCCAGGCACAAGCCATGCAATCATATCTCACCCAAACAAAAACAAAAAAAACCAAAAAAAAAGCAAGGAGAAGACCCAAAACTGGTTGAGGCCGCATCTTATCGCTGCCTTAAATGGTTGCCCCAAAACAGCTCCCAGATCTCCTGGGGCCTCCGTGGTGGCTGCTGCTGCTGCCTCTTTAAGTGGCGCATAATTAATGACCCAGCCAATAAATGCTCACGTTTTATTTACTGTTTATGGGAGGATTTGGTTCCCCCCCCCTACCCCCTCTCCATACCAGTGTATTCCCTCCACATATTATTGGGGTCTCCGTCTCCCGCCCATATCGATTCGTGTTGGGTAGCCGCCTGTAGACATGACGACAATTTATGCTACAAGCAATTTTAAAACTAAATTATCAATGAGATTTATGCGATATGCAATGCTTAACATATTAAGTGATCTACGAGGAGGGGTTTTGCTGGAGATGCATATGTATGGGGACCATTTTTGTACCATATAAGAGGGCATTTTAGAGTCTTACTCTAAGATGTGTCTAGTTTTAACTTTCATTAGATCACAGACCATTCAAGCTTGAAAACCTGTCTCTTGTGTGTCAAAAAACCTTGGTCATAATGGATTTTAGCTGTTTGTTCAAGCTACCGCTATGTGCCGACCCCCTGTCGATCCCCCTGGGGCTTTATTTGTGTGTTCGCATGGATCGTTATTTGCGTTTCGTATGGTGATGATAATTAGCCTCTTTAGAAGCAAGCAATACAAATATTTAGATGACGTCAGTTAATGGTTGGATCTCTCCCGATTTCGGCTTCAGTTCAGGCTCGCTTCTCTCGGGGGAACAGCTGAGAAAAAGCTCTTGGCTTTATCTTCGAGATAGGAATATAATCGGAAGACAGATAAGCTCTGCGTGTTGAAATCAAGCGGATAGATAGATAGAGAAAACGTATGGTAACAGAACCACAGAAACACAGAACTCCTCGACCCACCGCAATGTTGGTCAGTGTTGTGGCCCACAGGTAAGGCACTGCGTAGAAGAAGGTTCCATTGCGTGTTGACAAAGTGGAAAATAGAAATAGAAATGTGACCCATCAGGCAAGGCAATATGTACTCCTCATGTATTAACCATTAACTAATCTACCATTCGCATATCCTATCCCATAGAGCCAGCATGTCTGAGGCAGCAGCAAATGGTAGCAGTCCCTCTCCCGCTCCCGCTACAGAGGCACCGGTGGCGGAGTTGGCCCAACTGGCACTGGAGGAGGAGGCGGCACCCAAAGTGAGCTTCTCGGATCAGTTCAAGGCCTTCTCCAAGTTCGGGGACACCAAGTCCGATGGGAAGCTAATCACGCTCTCGCAGAGCGACAAGTGGATGAAGCAGGCGAAGGTGATCGACAAGAAGATCACCACCACGGACACGGGCATCCACTTCAAGAAGTTCAAGGCCCTGAAGATCTCTCTGACGGACTACAACAAATTCCTTGACGATCTGGCCAAGACGAGGAAGGTGGAGCTGTCGGAGATCAAGCAGAAGCTGGCCAGCTGTGGGGCTCCGGGTGTGGCGCAGGTTTCGGTGAGTGATCAATACTTTCCCCAGAGTAAGACGATTCTCATACTCATTTCCCTCCCTCTATTCCGTGTCCGTGTAGGCTGGAAAGGCTGCGGCAGCCGTGGACCGGCTGACGGACACCAGCAAGTATACGGGCTCCCACAAGGAGCGCTTCGATGCCACCGGCAAGGGCAAGGGCATTGCCGGCAGACGCAATGTGGTCGATGGCTCTGGCTATGTGAGCGGGTATCAGCACAAGGACACATACGATGGAGCCCACTAAAGGGACATCCCAATCACCCAATCACCCACCTTTGAGTCCTTTGAACCCCGTCGTTTGTGTCTGTCTCTAGTTTATCCCTTAATTTCTAATTTCTAATTTCTTATTTCTAATGGTAGCTGCAATTATTTATCGTTTACCTTTTTGTATATAATATAAGTTGTGATAATTTAAGTGCTTAAAAAATAAATTCAAATATTTTCGACATTTCTTTTTGAGTTTTTAATTATTATTATTCTTATTTTCGTTAAGTTGAGTTCTCCTTCGATACGTAACCCCAACCAAACCCTCTAAAAGCGGCCCAAAAAGTTCAAAGAGTTGATTGTCCAACCGAAAACCGAATTACATTTACATATATCTTGAAGATCAACAGATCCACAAATTCACAGATTCTATATCTATTTCTAGCCTTAAGATATGAATTGAACATTTTTAATATGAAACTTTGTGAGAGAAATTGTATAACCGTATAAATATATACCAAAGATGCATACATACATATATGACACATTGGAAGGAATATATGCTATGTTTTTTCATAAGATTTTTGCTTGAATAAATACAAATCAAATAATTACCATAAAGTAAAGGGAATCTTTTCCCCTTCCCTTTGATGGCTGGGAAAATCATACCTGTCCTATTTTTGAGGAGAAGAGAGTCTTCTCATTCCGATTTCAATTAAGAGATCATTGATTTATCATTGATGCAAAGCTGACACATCGGAACACCATCGGAAAAGCAGTGTGAGGCGGACTGCACGCTAGAGCGACTCTCGGTCCAGATGGAGGAGAAATCGATACGAGTACGTATATATCTGCCGATCTGTCTGGGTTTGCATAATCCTAACCCAGAGCCAGTGGAGAACTAGTGGGGCGGCTATTGATTGCAACGGGCCAAAGTCATTTCAAGATGTATCGTATATCACCCACAGCGAAGGGCTATAAAAGCGGCATCCGATGGCCTCTAAGTCAGCAGTGCATCGGAGACATCTCCAGAGCTCTCATCATCAGCATTAGCACCAGCATCACAGGATTAACAGCAACAGAAGGATGTCTTTTCGTGGCAAGAATGCGGTGGTGACTGGCGGGGCCGGCGGCATAGGACTCCAGGTGTCCAAGCAGCTCCTGACGGCTGGAGCAGCGGTGTGTACATCAGATACGGGGACTGTTACAGTCACTCCTTAACGCATGCATTCCCCCAGAAGGTGGCCATCATCGACATACAGGACAATCTGGAGGAGTTCGTCAAGTTGCGGGCGGCCCATCCCACGCAGAGCGTGATGATCGTCAAAATGGATGTGGCCAACAAGAAGGGCGTGGAGGCCACCTACGAGGAGATTGCCAAGACCTTTGGGAGCATCGACATTGTGGTGAACGTGGCGGGCATCTTTAATGACAAGGATGTCCAGCGCACTCTCCTCGTGAATCTGGGCGGTATCATCAACTCGACGCTGAGTGCACTGCCCTACATGAGCAAGGACAATGGCGGCAAGGGAGGCATTGTGATCAACATGAGCTCGGTGGTCGGACTGGATCCGATGTTCATCATTCCCGTCTACGGGGCCACCAAGGCGGGCATCCTCAACTTTACTCGCTGCTTGGCGGTAGGCTAGCATCCATTTATCCATTTTTATCCTTCTCCTGCTTATGAGTATTTTTACGCCACTCCAGAACGACAAGTACTACGCTAGATCGGGCATCAAGTTTGTTACCGTCTGCCCTGGGGCCACCATGACGGACATGTTTACCAACTTCACGGAGAAGATCATTTTCCCGGAGACGAGCGACGAGACGTACAGGATCCTCGACAGGCTCAACAAGCAGAGCGCCGCCGACGTGTCCCGCTGCATCTTGAGTGTGCTCGAGAAGGACAAGAACGGAGCGGTCTATGTCATTGAGGGCAAGCGCGTCTTCCCCATGGAATTGAAGCCCCAATGGACAGGCAAGGAACAGGCTCTCTAAGCTGTGCTGCACTCCTCCAACACTGACTCCAGCATACTCCAGTTATACAAACTATCGAAATTAGTATTTAATAAACATGCGAAGCACACCACAAGCGTCACTAATCTAATCACTAATCATCGCGCCAGGTAACCAGCACCTCGTCCGTGCGATATCGTTGCGTCACAAAGGACTCCTCGAACGGCATTCGAGAGCCCGACTTGAACATCTCGGCTCCTGCGTGGGCAATCATCAGGCCGTTGTCAATGCAGTATCGTTCGTCGATGGCAAAGAGTTTCCCTCCACGCTCTTCGCACATAATCCCCATCATCTTCTGGAGACGCTCATTGCAGCCCACTCCGCCCACAATGAGAACCTACAGATACAGAAGATAAGTGACATTACTCCAACTAGCTCCGACTACTCACCTCATTGGATCCGCAATGCGCCATGGCACGCTCTGTGATCTCCACCAGCATGGCGAAGATGGTCTCCTGCAGCGAGAAGCAAAGATCGGCCGGCTTGGCAACCGAGGCATCTGCTTCCAGGGTTTTCTTGCGTTTGTTGGGATTCTTTGTGGGATCGGCCAGCTCCTCGATATGCGACAGAATGCCTGAGAAGCTCACGTCCATGCCCTTGACCACATAGGGAAGATTGATGTAGTTTGTCCCTTCCTTGGCCATCTGCTCGATATTGTAGCCCGGACTGGGGTCGTTGGGAAGCTTGAGGATGCGAGCAAAGCGGTCCAGGCAATTTCCCACGGCAATGTCAATGGTCTCTCCGAAAATGCGATACTTCTTGTTGGAATAGGCAATCACTTGGGTGTTGCCGCCGCTCACATAGAGAATGATGGGGTTCTGGGCGCCCGTGATGTGGCGTCCCATCTCGATGTGGCCAATGCAGTGATTTACTCCCAGCAACGGCTTCTCCCACAGAAGCGACAGAGTGCGAGCCACAATGGCCCCCACCAGCAGTGGCGGGGCCATGCCCGGGCCTTTGGTGTAGCAAATGACATCCAGGTCGGATGGCTTTATTTTTGCTTCTTTTAAGCTTTCCTGGACCAGCGCAAGAATTACCTCGCGATGATGTTTGGCCGTTGCATTGGGCAGAAAACCTTTAGCACATAAGAATACCAACGGATTAGAGAGAGAGAGAGAGAGAGAGCCAGAAAGCCGGCAGCAGCAACAGGAAATACATTACCTTCTCCTGGCGGTGTGATGTAGGTTCGGCGCACATTGGCCAACACCTCGCCATCGCGAATGATTCCCACGCCAATTTTATTGGCACTGCCTTCAATTCCCAATGAACAAACCATTCTTAAATTAAAATAATTGAATTGAAATAACAAAAGAAATAACAATTGTCCACGGTCAGCTGGTATGAACCACTGTATGGATGTAGCGATATGTATCGTCTAAAGCAGCAGCTGATTGTCCATCTAAACAATATTAATCGATTGATACCGAACAAAATTTCGATATAAAAAATATCGACTGCAATATGCGAACTTCTTTGTTAAATTAAAAAGATAAATGCGTTAAATCACAAATAAATATGGAAACAGCGCAGGCCCCCCCGCCGGCTGAGGAGAGGAGTGAAGAGAATGTGTCTGAGATGGATACTTCTCAGATAAACAACCATCCGGAGGGAGAAACAACAAATGACAGTGGAGACGTGGAGCAGCAGCATCTGGAATGCGATAAAATAGAGCAGACTGCTGAAAGAAAGCCAACAAAGGCGAAAGCGGATGACGAGAAACCAGTTGCGGGAGACGAACTTCTCGTTGAGCATTTGAAGGCAGCGGTGCTGCAACAAATGCCTGTGCCTGTGCAGGATGAAGACCAATCGGGTGTCAGCATGCGCTTCAGAGACCTGCAAGTCCAAGACCAGGAACAGAATCTCAAAAAGCTGTCACAGAACGAGATCCTATCCCATGTGCACTGTCTGGCCCAGTTGGAGGAGCAGCGTCGCAGCTATGAGCAGCAGATGGAGCAGCTGCGAACTTCCAATGCCCAGAAGGACAACATGATGACGCTCCTGCAGCGCGAGAATGCCATCTTGGACAAGGAGAAGCAGGCCTTTCGCAAGGAAATGGATATGGCCAACAAGGAGAAGGAGACCACAGTCATTAAGTTTGCCATGAAGGAGAAACTACTCATCGATGCCAAAAAGGAGAAGGAGGCGGTGGATAAGCAGCTGGCGGATACCAAGAAAGAGGTGAAGAATGTTTCTACCCGCTTCATGGCCATCCACGAGGAAAAGTCCAGAATGACGTACATAATAGATGAAAAGGTAGAAGTATTAGCTATTGCCATGAGGAGGCTCCTCTAATCCGTTTCTCCTTTTAGTGCAACGAAGTTAGGAAATATCAGCGCGAATGCGAAAAGTACAAAACGGAGATGAGCCACCTAGAGTCCAAGCTAAAGTATCACATGAACAAGCTGTCCATCGAAACGGAGGCCAAGGCGGTAAGTATCGATCTACCCGAGAGTGACTCCATTTGACTCCAATCCCTTTCCCGATTGCAGGCCCTGGAGCGCAAGCTGGAAGAGGAGCGAAATGCACCGAATAAGCTGGAGGAGAAGGCCAATGGTTGGTTGAATCTCGAATAATTCTGAAAAAATATCTTCAACGCTTGATTATCTTATTTTCAGAGAAGCTAAGGATGGAATTTGAAGCCAATACAATACTCTTGAAGCACGAGATCACAAGCAAGACTGAGGCCCTCGAAAAAGTCACCAAAGAGCAGCAAAAGCAAAGTGAAGCCAACAAAGAGCTGCAGCAGCAGCTACAAGGGCTCGCCTTGGAGGTACAAAGTCTATGCAAAGTATGTCATAGATTTCGTATAGCTATTTTTCTCTTTTTTAGCATACTCAACTCACGGAAGAGTTTAATCGACTACGAGAGCAGCACCATGGAGTCGAGGCGGCCTACAGCGATGAGCTACTCAATTCGGCCAAGCTACGGGGACAACTCGAGGAACTACAACTGCTGCGCACCCAAAACACAATGTAAGGAATCGACTGTAGTCGATGGAGTATTTCCACTAGACTCAAGAATCTCTTTATAGAAATGAAGAAAAGCTGTCCGAACAGCAGGCGAGAGTGCAGCAACTGGAAGCAGAGGCTCAAGAAAACGAAGCAGATCTGAAACAATTGAAAATCAAGAAACAGGAACTGCTCACGATCAACAAGGAGATGAGCGAGCTGATCGTCTGCCTGCAAAACGACATTTGTCTGGCGGAATCAAAGGTAAGTCATAGAAATAGAGAAAATTGACTGAAGGCTGCAAAAAATGTACCTGCCCCGAGTGAGGCTCGAACTCACGACCTTAAGATTATGAGACTTACGCGCTGCCAACTGCGCCATCGAGGCCTTGTATTCGTCCGCGACCAAAGCAGGCTAAACCTTTCAAAAACGAGGATCCACTAATTGTGCTTCTATCTCTACTATCGGCAGGCTCAGGGTCTCGAAGCGGAGAACAAGCTGATGAAGCAGGAGAAACTTGGCTACGACTGCAGATATGGGGAACTGGAGCAGCAGCTGAGCTCCGAGGCTGCGGAAAAGAACGAGGAGCGGCTGCTGCTGGCCAAACATCTCTCCGAGAAGACCAAGCTATACGAGTTGACGAAGCAGAAGCTGGACAATGTCCAGGGCGACTTCGAGGCCACCCAGCACAAGCATGCCACCGTCGTAAAAGAGCTCCAGAGGGAGCTGCAAAAGTACAAAAAGGGCATTGCCGAACCCAAGGGTGGCATTAGCTACTGCAGCAACTGCCAACAGGCCCTGAACGGGGGCTATCCCCAGGAGCAGCAGCAGCAGCGCACCCACAGTCGCACCAGCAGCCATGGCAGCGTGCATAGCGGCAGCCGGCGGGCCAGCGAATCCTCAGAGTCGGAAACTGTGGCCAGCAGTGCGACCGCTGTGCCGCCGCCTGTGATGCAACAGGTGGACCTGCAGTCGGTACCGTCCAAGAAGGTTCTCGTTGAGCGTATTCTCCGGCTGCAGCAGGCCACGGCTAGGCAAACGGAACGGATCGAGTTCCTGGAGAACCACACGGCCGCCCTAGTATCCGAGGTGCAGAAAAAGTCCAAAGTCGTCCAGCACTACATGCTCAGGGACCAGACAGCGGGCGCCCTAACTAGCTCGAAGAGCGACCAGAACAAGAGCGAGCTCGTGAAGTACGGCAACGGCATAATGGCGGCCATCTACGGGGGCTCCAAGGGCGGCGAGAGCAAGGGCATGTCCCTGGAGCTATCGCTGGAGATCAACAAGAAGCTGCAGACCGTGCTAGAGGACACGCTGCTGAAGAACATTACGCTCAAGGAGAACCTCGACATGCTGGGCCTCGAGGTGGACAATCTGACGCGCAAGCTGCGTGCCTTAGAGGCCTCCAAATGATCCAATTCCAAGTTCCAGCCCATCCATTCCAGAGTCTAATCCATGTAAATACAGATTATTTGTAAAAAATTCTTCGATGTGCTTAAGGTAAAATGTATAGTAAATGTATTTAATATTTTAACAGTGCAAAGGCGGTCTCTACGGTTCCTCCTCACAGCAGGCCCTCGTAGAGCTTGGAGCTGACGGATTTTGGCTGGCCCAGATCCATGCTAACCTTCAGGGTGGGCTCCTCCCCCGCCTCGGCCATGCGCGCCAGCTTGTTGGGGGTCTTCTTGAAGTGCACTTTCATGAAGGGATTGGCCTCGCCTGTCTCCTCTTTGACGTACTCGCGCAGCAGCGGCGGCAGGTCGATCTTTGTGGGCAGCACGACTGGCGCGACTTTCTTCTGGTTGCTAAGGAACTTTGCCTCCTCCGCCTGCGGCACCAGCTCGTAGTCCGCCTTGTAGCTGGTGCTGTAGATCTCTACGGGCTTCGGCTGCGTGACGCCGCGCCAGGTCTTCTCCACGGTCACGCGAACCTTACGGATCTGGTCGGTCTGCTCGTCCACCGCCTGCACTTTGAGGATCCTCATGTAGCAGGGCTCCGGGTAGCGCTGGAACATGTTACGTATGACCATGCGGCCGACTCCCCAGTTGGGGAGGTTCGACACTAGTTCCCACAACGTGTTCCCCTTAAAGTCTGTGGTGCGGCCAATGTATTTGATTACTTTCTGAGCCATTTTGAGTTATAATTTTACGTTATTTAAGAAATTAATGAAAAAAATTCCAAGTGATGCCATTCACAGACAAGCGCGGACACGAACAGCTGAGCCGGTTGAAACGGGCGCCATCTACCGACTTTAAAGCGAACATCTTGACTGCAATCGATAGACATCCATGTGTTCGTTCTAGCGCTTTATTACAAACCTTTTTCAAGTTTCAAAAAAATGATAAAGAGTGCACAAGGATCTGGCAGTTTGTTAATTGATTACATGGACAGCCACGTAAGTCTGACTATAACATTTAATTAAATATATAAAATGAAGGGATACATTAGACTTGAAACATTCACTGGGCGTACACATTTCGCGTGTGCTCGTCACCTGACGCCGTGTGGCCCACGCCGCTGGTGTCAATGTGCTCATCGTACGATTCCTCTGCCAATTCATGCCCCTCGTGCCCCTCAAGGGGGTGCCCCGACTGATTCGTGCTCTCGTGCAGACCAATGGTCGCATGCTGCGCCGCCTTGGAGGCATTCACCTGAGCTGCAGCCGCCGAAGAGGCTGCTTTCAGGGCCGACTCTTTGGTGGCCGCGTAATCCACACGCGCCTGCTGCAGCTGCTCCTCCACTTGTTCGAGGCGGTTCTTGGCTTGGCCCACCATTGTGGACTGGGAGGCCAGTTGGTTGGACACCTCGCTAGCAGTTTGCTCCGCCTGCTCGGCCACGGATTTGGCATTGTTTACGGCCGCCGTCAGGACGGAGATGTGATGATGGGCCGCCTGCGCCGTCTGCTGGGCCAGTCTTGAGGAGATCTTCGCGGCCTTCAGCTGCTCCAGCTCGCGGGAGAGCGCCCGCTGGGCCTCGGCGGCCTGCTGCTCCAATTCCTGCAGCACCACCTCCTTCCCCGCAAGCGCAGCCTGGGCCGTGGCCGATGCCTGGGATGCCGCTTGCGCGAGGGTGTTCTGTGCAATGTATGCCGCCTGCTTGGCCGCCGCATGCTGGTTGGACACGGCGCTGTGCGCCTGATCCGCTGATCCCTGGGCTATGGAACGCAGTCCGCTGCCAATGCTGTAGCCATGATTCCCCTTGTTGCTACTGCTGCTGCTGCTCCCCGACGACTGGCTGTAGTAGCTCTTGGGACTACTGTGCTGGGTAGTACTATGCTGTGAACTGATGTGCTGGGGACTACTGTGCTCTGGCTCTGGAGGTTCCACTGCCGGATGCAGGGATTCATAGTATCCATTTTGATGGTGCTGCTGCGGCAACGGCGGCGGCTGCTGGGGTCGATAGTGGTAGCCATTCCTCTTGTGCAGGCGACCCAAGGCTTCGGCGAAGAGCATCACTGGAGAGGGAGAACAATTATCCACTGGATACTCTTCTCTCCATCCCTATTGGCTTACCTATCACCATCTGGCAGAGCTGGAATCGTAATCCTTTGACGTACATCTCCCTAACGCTGCTGGAACTGCATTGAGCTGCCTCCCATTCGGCGATCTTCCATTTATAACGCGATTGGGGTCCAGCGATGCAGAAACATTCAAGTTGCGGAAAGTCGGTTGCGGTTTTTAAATTTAACTGATGATCGCCATGGATCGTACGATCGTACTTTCGGCTATTTGAATGCTCCACACACACACGCACACACACTCTTTTTGGCTGCACCTTCTGCCCCTTTTGAGGAAGTGCGGCGACCACATTTGTTGGTCCAAGATTCGGCGGCGTCTTTTAATGCTTCGCTGACACGCTTGCTTCTTCCACTGCACTGGCCGCCGTACATTGTCTAGAGGCGGGCGGACACTGTAAAGTTGTTTTCTTAATGCTTCAAAATTTAATTTGCATTTTATGGGCTGCACTCGTTTGTAATTGAACTTAAAGTCGCTCTTATGACGGGGCTCTTATGGGCTTATGTGCTCATTGGTGCAGCGATTTGGGGGGATTACGCTTCGAACTATGTGGATTAAGTGGAAGATGGCGAAATTTTAGCTATTTTTGAAAATAGGGAAGTCTGGGCAAATTTAAATTAACTTTTTGTAAACAAATTTAATTGGAAAGCTTATGAGGGGGAATTCAAAAATTAATCTGAAACTGAAATAAGTCATACCTTATTATTCATTGGAATACTTATGGCATGATCTCTACAAATTTGTCTGCCGAAACACATGAGATCTATGGTATTCTATCAATCTTCAGTTCCCATTCCATATATATGAATATATATAATATATCGAAAATCCCAATCTTGCATCCTATGAATCCTCTTCATTCGAGTATTTCCCCATTAAAAACACTCAACAGATGATTATTTTTTCATAAATTATTTTATTTAAATACATAATTATTAATTTATTACAAGTATAAAAATAAATTAATCAAATCACTACAAACAATAGCTATTTTACAAGACAAAATCGGAACTGGAATGTACAGCGATCCAGAGATACAAAGCACATTAAATATCAACAAGAGAAAGACCTCACCTCTCCTCCGAAGAGGAGAGTGGGTCTTCAAAAGAGTAACAATTACGGGGACTGTAGGCGGACTATTGGTCCGATAGGTGATGCCTACACTCGTATAAAAAAAATAACAAAAGAAACAACGAGCTCGTAATAAATAAGAGTGTCGCATCCCAAAATAAATACGATGACGAATGCCACAAAAGATGGTAGTTTTGGATGGAGCGAAGTGTTGCATAAGTGGCTGATGGACGGATGGCTGATCAAAAATGGAAAACGAACTCATCGGAGGCATCATCGTCAGCATGGTCTTCAGCAGCATCGATGCTAGTGGCATCTGCGGACGCATGGTAGGCCGTTATCGATGGAGCCTCCTCGGGAGCAGCCTCTAATCATTGATAGCTCTGGGTGATCTGCTGGATCCAGGGGAGGTACGAAGAGACCTTCACGTAGACACCGGGAACGTTCACCTGGCCGCAGCCAATGCCCCAGGAGACCACACCGACCACATTCCATACTCCGTTGCGCTCGCAGACCAAAGGACCGCCGCCATCGCCCTTGCAGGCATCCTTGCCCTCCTCGCCGCCGGCGCACACGAATCCGGGATTCAGTTTGTAGCTGTAGCCGAGACGGGTGTTCCTCAGCTGGGCCTCGCACTGGTGGTGCGAGAGGATCGGCACATCGACCTCCTTGAGGATGTTCTGGTACTTTCCGTGCTCCCCGAAGGCGTCCTTGCCCCAGCCAGTGGTCCAGCAGCGGGCGCCGGTGAAGTCAGAGTACTTGTCGGGCAGGCAGGCGGGGCTGATGTGCGGATTCTTGGTGAAGTCCACGGGCTGGTCAAGCTTCAGGATGGCCAGATCGTTGTCCAGGGTACCGGCATAGTACTCGGGATGAATGTGCACGGACACGACATCGCGCTCAATGTAGGGGAAGAACTCCACGTCATGGTTGACATCCCATTCGCCCAGGCGGACACGAAGATCAAAGCCATTTTGACTGAAGGACGGATAAAGAATATTCGGGGTTAAACCTCTGATCGCAAGGAGCTTTAGAATGATCGAAACTTACGATTTAATGCAATGGGCAGCGGAGATGATGTGCTGGGCATCGATGAGGGTGCCGCCGCAGGCGTAGATCGATTCCTTGGGATCCTTCTTCAGAATGGCCACATGCCATGGGTACTCGCCGAACTCGCTGTCGCCATCGACGTAGACGGGGTTCTTGATGCGGCCGGTGATGCCAGCGGCATTTCTAACACCACAGCGACCCAACTGCTGCTGGGGCGGGGCCTGGGGACGCACTGGACGACGGCAGCAGACCTCATTCGCGCGGCAGGTCTTCTCCACGGGACGATTGCCATAGTAAGCGCGCTGCAAGTGAAAAAGATGAGGGAGTCCCATTAGCATTATATTTGGATAGATTTAAGAATGGTTTACTGAGACTTTCTGCAAAATCAACACATGGTTACCTCCTCCTCCCGAGCTGCTTCACTCTCCCACACACTACGACGCTTCCGCGACTGCTCAACGCTCCTCCTCCTGCGATCTCTGGGAAAGGAGACATAGTCACTGCCCGCTGCCGCTCCTGGGGCAGGCGTGGGTATATTGTACAAGGGGCCCAGGTTCAGTTGCTTGCCACGACGGGTGGCTGTTGGATTCCACGTGGGTGCCGCGCTCACGTTCACACTACGCTCCACGTGCTGCGAGTACTCCCCGTAGCCTCCAAAGCCACTCGAGCCAAAGTCGGGGCTCGAGCCGGGATACACTGAATTGTAGGAGCTCTCGTAGGGCGACGGAGACGGAGGAGACTCGTGATGATGATGCTGCTGGTAGCTGGGCGCTGAGGGGCCGCTGTGGTACTCGAAGATCGGAGTACTCGGCACCATTTCGACACTGAAGTGGGGCCCTCCCGATCCACTGTATCCACCAAAGTGATGATGATCGTAATCGTGATGATCGTGGTGATCGTAATCATGGTGATCGTAATCGTGGTGCTCGTAGCCGCTGAAGTGATCGTGATGATGGTAGTGTGTGCTGTGCACTTCGTTGGGCTTTCTCTTGAAGAAGTCGCCCACTTTCTGGATGAGATTCGCATTGGGAGTGACATGGAGATTGACCAGGGGCTTCACCACCTTCTCCCCGTAGTCCGTTTTGGCCACCTGCACAGAGACGAGTGGATTGACATTCACCAGACCCAGATTGAGGCCATTTGGGCCCAAGGAACCGAAGTTGGGGTTCTGTGCGGGATACTGATCGCCCAGGACATTCACCGGATAGCCGCCATATGCTCCACTGGGATAGGGAAGCCCGAAGGACACTCCGTAGGTGGGCAGAACCTTTCGTTGGATCAGCTCGATGGCCTGCAGGGCGGGCAGGGCCAAGGGAGATTGTCCGAGCGGCCCCTGGCGCTGAGAGGGAGACACGAACGGATCAGTACGCGGACTCCAGCATGCAGGATACAGGATACAGGATACAGGCGTGCGACCTTGGTACCCCTTGATGTATTTGCTGTTGTTGTTGTTGTGGCTGTGCGTGCGTTGGTTAGGCTGGTTTTAGTGGCGTTTTTTTGGGCGACGACGAACGAGGTTTAGTGGTTCTTTGGATTGAGCATTGGAGGAGCGTTGATCGGTTGGTTGATGGGTGCAGTTGGTAGATTGATTGATTGATTGGATGCGTGGTTGTGTGTGGTAGAGGAGGATTGCTATTGGTATTGCTATTGCTAGAACTCGATCGATTAGTCATTAACTATGTGTGATTTTGCATTAGTCGGGCCACTAACTAAACATTCTTAAAAGGGTTTCTGTTTCTATTTCTTTTTCAATTTATATTTCTTCGAGACACTTACCCCTTGAGCATCGAGCGACAGATCGCTGTTGTCGTCCTGGTCCTTCTGGTCCTCGATGGCTTGACGGCGAGTGCGTTTCTTCTCATCCTTGTCCTGCTTCTCATCCTTCTTGGCCTCTGCTGTGGTGGTGGCATTGCCAGCGGGCGCATCCTCGCTGAGGGCCTCGATGTCCTTGCCCAGATTGCGGGGATCGATGGGAAGAATCAGATCCTCCTTGCGGCCAATGCGATCGGCAGCGGGGCACTGGTTGAACGGGACGCACTGGCAGTCAACGATCTGCTGGCGAGAGGTGTCATAGCCACCCTGTCCCTGTCCCTGGTACTGTCCCTGTCCCTGTCCTTGTCCCTGGTAACCTCCAGAGATGCCATTGTAATTGTTCGAGGCTCCTGTCTGAAGCTCCTTCTTGTAGTAGTCGGGGTTCTGGCTGTGATAGCTGGAGCTGGGCGACGATCCAAAGCCACTCTGGCCGAAGCCTCCCGAGCTGCTGCCAAAGCTTCCCAATCCAGAATTCGGTTTGTAGATGTCACCGGAGAGACCTGGCTTCTGGGAGAGACCGCTGAAGCCACCCTGAGCGCCCTGGGAGAGGAGTCCGCCCTGAGAGGCGCCATTGAAGCCCGCATTGAAGGCATTCGACTGGGAGTAGGAGCCGGAGGAGGAGGCCTGGGGAGTGTACGTGGCCGAGGACTGGGCCAAGGCACTGAAGTCCGTGTTGATTGTCTGGCCAGAGCCAATTGGGATCGGGACACTGGGAACTTTGACCCCCTCGGTGCCCTCGACGTGGTGGTAGTGATGGTGCACGTGCTGCTGGAGACCCGCATCAATGGGTGCCCCAACCACGACCTTGGTGCTGGAAGAAGTGGCCGCCGAAGAGGAGGAGGACTGCTGCGAGGAGTAGAAGCCGTTCAGGGAGGAGGGTGAGCCCTGGATGCCGCCCTCGGGATTCTCAAAGTTGTATGGGGGCACACCGTTCGAGTTCGAGGAGGGGCCATTGTAGACGGGACCGGGACCATTGGGTCCACCTGGATAGATGGGTCCTGGCGGCTTGCTATCGTAGATCAGGGCTCCGGGTGGGGGCTTCGTGTAGGTGATTCCGTCCAACGAACCATCGATGGCCGATGGGGGAGGATGCTCCAGATATTGCCCTCCGAACTGGCCGCCTGGTCCGCTTGGCCGGTAAGGTCCGGACATGGGTTTGTAGGGTCCCTCGTAGCCAACTTTGCGCGGGGGTCCGAAGGAGTTGAGGGAGCTAGGAGGAGGACCCATTGGGGGGCGGCCACCGAAGTATCCCGGAGGAGGCATTGGCTTGGCAGGACCGTAGGGACCGCCGCTGTAGCCAGACGGTGGAGGGGGACCCTGGGCGTAGATGGTCGAGTAGAAGGGACGCTTCTCCTCCACCTCGCAGCTCATCAATCCCAGTCCGCAGAGCTTGTCACGGATGAGGTTACGCGCCTGCATGTCGTTTCCCTGCTGCAGGGCCTGGTCGATGTTGCCATCGGCATAGACGGCATCGTACTCCCCGAGATTGCGTCCCTCCCGTCGGGAGTTGAGCAGCTGCTCGATGATCGTGTCAATCTCCGAGGTGCTGTTGCTCTGGATGGACGTGGACTCGTGCACGAGGTATCGTCCCTGCACCTCCGATTCCTCAGCGGCAGGCTTTGTGTCCACGGAGCGTCTGCTCGGCGTGGCATCCTCCATGGGCGCCCACTCGTTGCCCCAATCGGCGGCCAGTGTGGCGGTGGCCAGCAGCAGAACTGCCATCAGGCTCTCTCGTATTCTCATTGTGTGACGAAGAGTGTCTCTGTAAGGAAAGGAAAATGATTTATGAGTCGAGGATTGCATAATGCCTTAAGTCTTGACACCATTACCCCCAAGTCATTGTCCCAGTTTGCATTTCTCTCTTCCCTCTCTTCCCATCTTTCACGACTGCTGAAGCAATCCCCAAACGAAACCGAAACCGAAAATCGAAAACGCAAAACCGGTTCGTGTCTTGAAATCTTCGGCATGAGTCAGTGTCAGAGCCAAAGCCAGAGCAAAAGCCAGAGAGTAGTCGTATAAGACATGGACTTTTACTTTCGTTGGAGGTCGCAGACCGTCGTTACTTTTTTTCGAAATGCCTCGCCACACTCTTTGCCTCTCTTTCTGTGTAATTTATGAGGTAATTTTCTTTACGGGAGGGACTAACTCTGACTCTGACTCCGATTCCGCTCCGTGGCGGACAATCGCTCAAGCCTTGACAGCCGCTTTCCGGTTCGTGTATTTCTGTATATTTCACTTTTCTTTTCTTTTGCGACTTTTGCACTGCACTCTTATGTCATTTTGGGTCGACGATGCGGACGATGCGGAGTGTGGAGTCTTGAGCGATCTTTCATTATGTAAATGGATCTTTCAGGCGTGCCCTGCGATCGCATCTGCTCTGCTCTGATGTGATGTGATGTGCTCTTTGGGGGGCGGAAGTCGTGTGCAGTGTTGCATTGCAATTGGGTTTTTCTGGGATGCTAAATGTTGCTGCAATTCAGGGTGTGTTTTTTCCTGTGTCTCTGTCTGTCTATCTGTCAGTTTGTTGGAGGTTTTTCTTTTGTCGGTTTTTCTTTTTCGCAGTGAAAGTTTCGCTTTTCCGATTGACTTTAATGACTGCTGACTGTGGGCATGGGGCATGGGGGATTTTCTGGGGATCTGTATAGCGTATATAGCGCATTGTATATGGTAGAGCCATTCATGGATCTTTATTTTGTTCGGTCTTTGGGTTCACTTTGGGGGTTCACTGGGCCAATTTTTCACTTGATCACTCACCTTTTATCAGTTTGCAATAAAAAAAATATGAAAAAAATTGGAATTCGTGTTTCCTTTCTCTCGATAATCCTTTATATAATTGATATTGTCTCTGTTATCCTTTCACTTCACTTTCTGCACTTCTGCACCTCTGCTTTGTGCTGCTCGTTCGTCGGCAAGTTGTTCACTGATTTCGCTTTCGTCGACGGCGCACATTTTATACAAAAACGCCGCGCGCAGGCGCAACGGCGTCTATCTCTTTCGCTCTTGCTCTCGCGGTTTGCGAATCGGGGGCCCAAAACATAAGAGAGACAAAAGCTGCGACTGCGACAATGTTTGGCAACCTATGCCCCCCTCCCTCTCTGAGTCTTTCCCTCTCTCTACAGTCGTTTTTTTGGGGGGTAATCATATTTTGGTTGGGTTTTTCTTCGATTCTTCGATTCTGCTGAAGACTGGAGGTCACCTCCATCCAAAGAAGAGAAGTATGATAGTCGTATCGGGTAATCCCTAGGAAATGACTAGAGTTCAACGTCAGAGTCTCTAAGATAAGGTTTGTCGGAACTATCTTCGGAGAAAATTCGTTTAAAATACTATTACAGAATGATCTTTACTCCATTAGCTCTAAGCGCAACAATCCTTGGAGAAGATTGGGTTTTAGAGATAGTTCCTCTGAAATGTTAAAAAGTAAAAAGCATTTTCGGACTTAAAGAAAACATCTAAATAATAGATATTCAATTCAAGTGTGAGAATCATAAAAACCATTTCCCTACGAAAGTTATCTAAGGCAGAAAAATTGCATCAAAAATATATTTTCTTATGAAGCGATTCCTCAGGAATGTATAGGGGTAAGGTCCTTTATACAGACTCCATGGGGAACTGTTATTAGTAGCCTTCCCTCTGAAATAAAAAGGGCTCAGAGGTCTCTAAGAGAATGTCTTAACTAAAGACGAAACCAAAGAAAATCTTCCATAAAACTGTCATCCTCCGATGAAGCAATTCCCCTTGGGGATGAATATTTTAAAATTATGTGTAAATTTCACATAAAGTCCAAATTAGTTCGCTCTGGTTTTTATTTTTATTTTTTTATGATGATTTTCATGTGGGATTTTGACCAAAAACACTTCCCGGAAAGGCTATGAACAACAGTTTGAGAAACACTAGAGAGACAGACAGACAGAAAGAAAGAGAGAGAAAAACCAAGCGAAAGATTATGCAATTCTGCAATTATGAATTGGGTCAGAGAGGCCCGTGAGGGGGAGCGACTGAAGCAACGAATGAATGAAAGGGGTTAAAGGGGTCTCTGGTTTGGGCATTGCCTCAAACCGGATCTTTTGGCATACATTCGTCTCTCACACGTCTCGTATCATCCCGTCTCTCTGCTCTGCCCTGCTCGGCTGAACGGACGCATGTACTGACGAACGGGCGGGATAGTCATCGGGGGTTCAGGCTAGTTTTAAACCCATGGTCAATGCAAACGTCATCAGAGTCGGTCATTCATTTTATTTGATTTCAATTTTCATGTCTCCCTCGCTGCTTTTGCCTTTGTGAATCAAAAGTGCTTTGCGGAATTACCCGAAGTTCACAAAAATTAGAGACATTCCCCTAGCGATGATCACGTTCGCGTGCCGAACCGAACCCCATAATGACGATGATCTTCATTGGATCCAAGCCATGTTGTGTGTGGTCAGTGCTGTGGTTGGAGTGGAGTGCCAGCGCCAGTGCCTGTGCCAGTGGCTCTCCTCTCATTGTGATTCAGTGGCTCCACTCTGCTGTGTGTTTGTGTGCGATTGACCTTGGCTCAGGCGCCAACAACCGACTCGACAAACATTTATCTACAGACACTTAAGTGTCGTTTTATGTTAAACATTCCAAGAAAGTTGATAATGGGGCTCAGATCGATCGAACGAACGAGCGCACGAAAATTATGCTAATCGCTTTGATTTACTCTCGAAACTCTTTTGAATAGCTCGTGGAGATCGTGGAGTTTTTATCAATCAGCTGCTTAGGTGTTAGCTACTGGTGGCGTAGTCTTTGACCATCGGGTTTTTTATGAGTCACTCGGACAGCAGCAATTTGTGCCTCTGGGTCTCTGGTGTTTGTTTGAAGGAGGTGCGTCGAACCTGATTCGAATTCGCATTCGCATTGGATCTAATAAACTTTTGATGCTCTTCATACGGGTATTTCAAATCGAAAGAGGAATATGTTTGCGATTGTAGAGTGTTTGGGGATAGTCTACTTTTAATTCGGCTATCGGCAAGGCCCTATCTGCTCTGCCTCTCACGAACACATGTGTAACAGTTGTTTTGCCACTGCAAGAAATGTGAATGTGTTCCGATCGCTAAATTAATCTAGACGATAATTGGCCTATCATTTGTATGCTGATAAGTTCAAATCTAGTCTAAAGTTGTCCAACATTTAACAAGTATTCAGTGTACTCTCCCATTCTCTTTGTTTAGCTTCCATGTAAAATCGTGTGCACTTAATTGGCTTTGTTTCTTAATATTTGGTATTCAGTAGTCCATCATTATTTAAAATATATAAGTGATCCCTTTTTTTATTGAGGCCTTCCCCTAATCGAACCTACGACCGTTGTCCATGAAAGATCACACTATAGCGCCTGATAAGTTTTAATTTAAAATAATTTTATATATTTTGAATATTAATTATTATAGTTATTTTCAGATTTTTCCTGGTTCATCGTATGGCTATTTGCACCGTTCATTAATTTATAAGGTAATTACTTTTAAGGTATTTACGTCTTCGGTTTGCTACAGCTCCGAAACTATTGTATGTATTTGTATTTTTCCTGTTAAAAATAATTTGACAGTTAGCTGGAAACTTGGAAGCTATTGGTAAATCCCAGTACGAGTGGTCTGGCAATAGTTTGAACTTGAACTTAGGCCTCGTCCAGGCCGGCTATAGCTATGACAGCTAATGCCACACAGAGGCATAGAGTGCCACACTGAGGAGAGTAGAGTGTGTAATCCGCGCTGATGATGGGGTTACAGGTTCAGGGGCAGGGGCAGAGGCAGAGGCAGGCAATGGGAGTGAGTGTTGTTTTCCTGTATTTGCATCTATTTTTTGCACATTTCTTGGCTATTGCAACATGGTTCGTGTTGGTGTTTATTTTATGCCAACATGTTAATTGTTTGCCCAAATAGGTTCGAATGGGGCTTGTGTTTGCTCCAAATAGTCATCGCGTATCTACCGCCTTCCTCTGGTAATGTGTCTCCTTCCTTTGCGAAGCAAAACCAGCCGCAGTTCAAGTCCAAAATCGTTGTGTCTCCAAATCCGAAAAGAGCTTTGAATGAAGCCGAAGGTCGAAGTGTGCCAGCTCCCGATTTGTGTCAATTGCTCAACAAATTGAGTATTGAGTATTGAGTCTAGAGTGAGGTCTCCCACCCACACACAGTCCCTCCACACACAAAAAACCATTTGGCAATCGCTTAAGCCAGACTCTGATCTCTGAGTTTTTTAGGTGTAGCTTTTACAGTTGCAGTGGCAGCTGCTGCTGCCAGATCAGAGTGAGACTCTGATCTCTGAGTTTTTTAGGTGTAGCTTTTACAGTTGCAGTGGCAGCTGCTGCTGCAACTGCATCTGTGCCATGGATTTACCCAAACTCCAAAATGCTGGGGAAAATCCCCAGGAAAACCATAAGTAACTCTTTTTTTTTGGTGGCTGTCTACCATTCCAGTGGCGAGCCACTTCGGCCCGGTCTCTAGCCAATTCTCGATTTGTTTGCCGGCTGCTGCTTTGGCTTTGTTGTTGGCTTAGGCCTTGGGGAAACCCCAGTGAAGTGTGTGGCTATCGACGCTTGGCTGACGCTTGCTTTTCGGCTTACATAACAATGCAGCAGGCAGCAGCAAGCAGCAGCAGTCGGCAGCAGTCGTGTGCGGTGCATTGAGCCGGTCTACCCGCCTGCCTGCCCCGTCTATTCGGACCTCCCTCCCTGGGGGCTTATGATTCATTTTGGAGCTGATTTGATTGGACTTGTTGCTTCGATTCGCTTTGGCTGGTTTTGTGTGTGTTTAAACGTTGCTTTTTCTTTGCTTTCGGCTTTCTGCTTTGTTTTGTTTTGTTTTGCTCGCTTAGCATACGAGTATATGCATCTGGCATTTTAATGGGAATTGCCTTACGGGTATACTCTTTCGGAAGAGAGTAATGGGAATATAAGCATTTTCTTGTAACGACATTGTAAACCATTAAACATCTTTACACGTATTCCTTAGCGACATATAGAGAGGGATTCAAACTAGTCTTTCAGATTTGAATTTATACGAATGGAGCACTGCATAGAGTATTCATTTTGCTGTATAGTAAAGAACCATAAAGATCAGATCACAATATAGTACAATTTCACTAGGTAAAATCCTGTAAAAAAACTAATACTATCCAAACGTTCTAATATTCATACTGTATATATATTTTAAGGATACTTCCACTAAATCCAATCTAAATTGGAGCTTCCACTGGAATTAGAGTCCTGTTTACGAGTACACAATAGGATTCACTTATTCACTGATTCATTTCAGGAAACGTGGATTCTGGCAGGTCCGTCTCTGCGGTGAACGATGGATCGAGAGGGTATCCATGCCTTTGCCTGAAGCTTTAGCTTTTCCTTTCTGGTTTATTGGCTTTTTGCTTTTGCGAAATTACCTGTAATAAATTCGATGCGTATGGCTAAATCGAATCATTTGCTGTAGCACTGTAATTATCATAGTTGGGCAAACCCTCAAGGTCGTTCACCCACACCCACGCCCACACCCAGACCCACATTGTGTGATCAGCATACAGGCATCTAGGTATATATTACAAGTAAATATGATTTTCTGTTTGGGAGAGAGTGATTCATCATGTCTCCAGCAGACATCTCTCCCTATTTTTACAGTACACTTACCCCTCTCTCTTCCCCCCCCCCCACTCTCTTTCTCTCTCTGTCTGTACCTTTTGTTGCATAATGTTTTAAATTATTTCACCCGCATCTAATGGTGGCTTTTGTTGATGTATCTGCCGCTGCTGCTAGTGCCCTTTCACCGCACAGAAACCCCACACTCCACACTCCACTCCGTGGCTCATTTAACACGGCTTATTGTCTTCATTGTCTCGCAGCCAAATAAATTCATGTCTGAGGCATTTGTAAATTAATTTCAAGCCGAGATTCGAGGGGAGGGAGACTTCCGTTTTCCCCTCAAGTTTAAGGGAAAGTTTGCGACTGTTTTTCCCCAATGATAATTCATCTCTGGTTTCGGAATGGCATCAAAAATTTATCATGTTCGGGGGTATGCCTAAAGTTCTTGGAAAAACTTTCTTCGGCTTAAGGTTTTTTTGCTTCTTTATTTGCTTATCCACTTATGCTAAGTGCTTTGCCTTTTGATATCCCCAATTCACATCCACAGACGAAATGTATCTCGTCGTAGTACATCTCCCGCTTATTAAATTCACTTTGATTCGAGAAGAGTCGCGCATCCTGGAGGACCCCCCCATGGGTGAGGGCAGCTCGAAGAATAGGATGACAGCATAACGATGCATTCAAGTGGCGTTTTTGATAAACAAACAAACCGATTACACAGCGGTCGACCCATCCAACCACCGCACCACCCACTGTGCCAATTGACGGTGCTTCCAATCAGATCCCAAAGCCACAGACCCACAGAGCCTGAGAGCCTCAGAGCCAGGGCCAGGGCCAGGGCCATGGACAAATGCAATGAACCCGAAAGCCCCAGGAAAGGAAAGGATACGAGACTCCCCGGAGAATATAATAGTGGTGGATGGTGGAGGGAGGCACGCACCCCTACGATTTGCAGTGTCCACTTTTGGGGGTGGTCTTTAGCTGTATTGCCTCTACAGCCGCCTAAAAGGCTGCTATGGCCACAGACGACTATTCCAACGGTGGGGAAACTGCGCCTCAAAGCGGCCGCTGTTGCATCACTGTTTGGCCTGGTGTGCGCCTGGTGCCTGCCTAGATGCCTCCAGGTGCCTGAGAGTGACAGCTATTGAAGATACCTGTTCCACTGGGGATGGAAAGACAATGCTTTGGGTAGCTAATCGATAGATGGATTGATACTTTGACCTTAATGCCGGGATAGAAACTGCATCCGCACATTTATGTAATTAGAGAAGGCACAACTATCCTTCGTCCTGGCCCTGGTGCCGGGCCTGGTCGAGAACGTATTCTGCGTCATATCTGTTGGACAGACTTTGCCTGGGATTGCGGTTCATTCACTTGAGCAGAGACTTGCATAATCTGTAGAGCTTCGATCTTCTGTCTCTGTCTTTTCGGTGCGTCTAACCTTTGGCTTCTCCCCTCAAGCACGGTTGAAGGTTCAAGGTTTTCAATTTCATCAATTTCGAGAGAATCTATGGGAAAAGGCGCAGACCCGTACTCGTATGCGTATCTATAGTGTTTATCCCACCTGGCTGCCGTCGAATGGCTTCCAATTGTTGCTTGTTTTTGTCACTCTCGATGGAGAGACAATAACACACACTGTACTCTGGATACTGTGTTCTGGGTACTGGGTTAAAGGCCTCAATCAATGGTCAGCCTCATTCTCCTAGAACACATTTTGGGCTTTCGGCTACTGACCCGAGGTCATCATTCCTGGGGGAATGTTCTGGCATTCGGCAGGATGGCATGGCCCATGGAATAATGCCGAGACATTTGCGTACGGCACGTCAATCCACACCCATCCTCCGTTCTCCAACAGAAAAATACAGAAACGAAATATTTATTTCCAAATGTAGGTATTATTTCGTGCGTTTGTGGATGTTGATTCATCTCGGGTGACGTCAGTGGCACTCAATCAGAAGTGCAGCATAGCGCGAAATTTAATTGGCAATCGACTGGCAGTCGTCGTATCTCCCCCCCAAAAAAGGATTGCTAGAGCCTCCTCCTGTCAGTCCACAGACATTGCATTGTGTGCTTTTGGAATTTGTTATATTTTATTGTGCGTTTCGAGAGCGTAAATCCAATGGGTCTGGGTGCTTCAGTGCTTAGAAAATCATGCTGTATTCAGTGTTCGTTATTTACTTTCTGTAGAGAGAGTTGGTGGCCCCATAGAACGGATAGCTCCAGGTGGGCGGATAGTGCAGAGTTGTCCGGAGAGCGGGTGCCAGGAGCGGCGTGAGCCGCGGCGCAGTGCGATGGACAATGGTGGAGCTCTGATGCGAGACGGCAGTGGGTACATGCTCCAGCAGATTCCCCACTCGGGCCAGCGTGGGCTCCTGGTGCAGCGTCAGCAGTGGATGATAGATGTGGAGCTCAGCCTGCCCCCCAGCCACGAGGGAGAGGAGTACAACTGCCACAAGGAGACACTGAAAGAAGGAACTCAAATGAGAGGGATTCTCTTCCGAGGTTACTCCTCCTCCTTACCAATTTCTTCGGCATCTTCGTTGATTCTTCAATGTCTGGGCATCGACTGTTGGCTGGAAATGAAGACGGAGCCACTTTTATAGTCCAGCCGAGAGTGGAGAACGGACCACTGCATTCTAATTGAGATTGAGTGGCCCTTCTAGCCCTTGAGCATGGCTCAGGTTCCGCCTCTCCCTAATCCTCCAGAGATCACAGATCACAGATTGCATCGCTGATTGCACAGCAGAAGATGTGGTATGTGGCATGTGGCATATTTATTGTTGTCGTGGGCTGGAGCCGTGTTTTCTTTATTGATTTCCTGTCACCGCCCAAGGAATGCAAAGAACCCAGAGAACTGCAGTTGCGGATGCAGATTCTTTATTGCAGAGAATAGTTCTACAGAAAATGGCAGAGAAGAGAAGAGACTAAAAGAGAAGACAGGACAAAAGACAGAAAACAGTTCGGAGACAGAGAAGAGACAGACAAGTCTGTTGGCTAGGGAAGAGAAGTATAGCTAGAAGTGGGTTTTGGCGAGTTGTTCATCTTGTTCGTTCTTTGGTTTCCGTGACAGTGGAGCCCTCGAAGGTCTTCAGTGGGCCCTTAGTTCCGGAGCAGGACCAGGCGAGGATCGGCGGAGGACAGGGTCCAGAGGAGCGGCGGCTGCTGGCGAACCAGTTTTGTGGTGCGCACGGCCGGTGCCACGATGGGGGTGACCAGGCGACGGTGGTCGTGGACAATGGTCTGGCTCTGGTGGGACACAGCGGTGGGCACATGCTGCACCACCTCCCCCACCTTGGCTACAGTGGGCTCCTGGATGGTGAGCACAGTCCGTAGCCCGGAACGAGCGGCCACAATCAGAGGCAGGGGCACGGAGACGGGTATTCCAGACAAGAGGCGGGCATCGATGGTGTCCGAGCTGCCGCTGGAGGACTGCGAGAGCTGATCAGAGGAGGAGGAATCCTCTTCCTGGTCCTTCTCCTCGCTTTGAGCAGCAGCAGCAGCAGCGGCAGCGGCAGCAGAGGCAGCACGACTCTCGGAAAGCTCTTCGGAATCCTCGCTGGCCAGAGGCAGGAGCTGCGAGGACTTGCCAGAGCTCAGAGCCAACAAATTGGAGGGCCACTCCAGGCCGGCTGCCTCGGAGGATCCGGCAAGGATGAGCACAATGGCCAGGACGGGAAGGCACTGTGAAGGAGTACCCTATTCTGTATTTGGCCTTGGTGTTTCGTGAATGATCACTCACCACTCTGGACATGATCGCTGGGTTTCTCTGGTACTGGATCTGGTTCTGAGGGACACTTGTGACTAGGTCAATGCTGTCGAATGACTGATGATTGGGAAGATCCCAAGGGCTGTTTTTATAGCCCCCAGTCCCCCAGAGGCGTCTCGCTTCAGTGGCCAAAGAAATGCAACGTTCAATGAGGCTAAACAGAAACCAGAACAGCATTTATTCAATCATCTGATAATTTGAAATTTGATTTGATTTGAAACTAGATTCAGTATTCAGTCAGAGGATGTTTTTGGGCAGCTGAATGTCGCACTTCAGCCTGTCCTGCAGCCAGAACTTCTCCAGATATCCGATGGGATCCCGCGGCTGTTCGCGGGCAACAGCCAGCATTCCCTCCATCAGAATGGGCACCACCTGCAGCTCCAAATAGGTACGCTTCTCCTCTGGCGAGCGATAGAAGTGGGGTCTGTTGCACTCCGGCTCTGCCTTTGGTGACGCCTCTTTCTTTGGTTTCTCGATTGGTGGGCAGTCGATGGCTTTGGCACCTGTAGTCTTTTGCTTGGACTTTTGCTTGGATTTGTTCTCCATGGATTGGACTTTTGTCAGCTTGCGGGGACTTTTGGGGGAAGTTTTGGATTTTACTGCTAGTTTGCTCAACATTTTGAGGCGTTGAGAGTGGGGAGGGAAATGATCTGATTGAGAATGAGATTGTTACGAGAATATCAAAGACAACTTGAATCGAAAATATTTCAATGTCTCTTTGAAATTCGGCGTGTGCGGTAAATGTGCGATAAATGCACGATAGACTCTCGATAAATACGGTAACGGGGCTGCCACTCTTCGACACTTGAATTATAAAGAGGGTTACCCATAAGTCGCAAGAAATGTGGCATTCCCTTCCTCATAAATGCACTCCCTAATGGAGATTTCATTTACTAATATACTTATTTATTTTCAAACGGAAATTTCACAGTACGATAGACGACAGCTAGACGATTATACTTGGAGCGCCCATTCCGCTCCTCCAGCCTCGCGCCCTCCTCGGGAGAGGCAGAGCTCCTCTAAGCTGATTAGCATGTACCCCACGCGTAACCCGATCAAGCGGAACATCTGCCGCCACGTGTCGTGTCTCCATCGCTTGGCTGAGTGGCGAGTGGCAGTGGCAAGTGGCAGTGACGGCGGCAGGGAGGAAACCTAAGCCGCTTAACGTCTCTTTCCCCTTAGAGCCCCCTGAAGAGGGTATTGGGAGTTCTTCAGTGCTTCTGATGGCGCAATCTTTCAGTGCCGTCGACGGTTTAAATCAAATTTTGAAAACGTTTCCCTTTGCCTTTTGTCAGGTTTTGGATAGCGTTTAAAAAACTTGGTCAAGTCCGCCGTGAGGCCGCCGAAGAAGGTGTAGCGCATGCGGGTCTCCATCAACCAGACAAAGTGCTCCGTCCGATAGGCCAGCGACAGATACTTGTAGGTATTGACGAACACCAGGGTGTAGACCTGCAGCTGGTTCCGCGTCAGCCCAAGGAGCAGGGGACTCTGATGGATGTCCAGTGCGAATAGACAGGATATGACAAGAGCCAGCTTCGAGTTTCTGTGTGGGAGAACAGGCATGAGGTATAAGATGAGGGATAGAAGAGTACTCCAGCTCCTTGGCACCCACATGCTCAGCTTGATGTACGCCATCTGGTTGTGCTGACACCGGTTGATGAGGATCGCGGCCACGGGCTTCAGGAGCTCGGCCCCACTGCCCATGATAGTGCCAACGACCAGCATGGCCACTGGGGCATTGCCATAGAGATTCCCGGCCAGGGTCACACCCTTGTCGATGAGCTGCACCTGGCTGATAGTCGACATGGTCGTGGCCAGGATGCGAAAGAACAGGGTCTGCGCCACCGCATGTCCCAGGTCAAAGGGGCAGTAGAAGATGAGGTACCTAGCCGGAAGGGATCGGGGATTATCGGATGACTCCTGACTTTTCGACTGTACATTCCACTCACCACATGCAAGAGCTTAGGAGCACGTCGGCGCTGTTGCAGAGCGGCTCCAGGGGCAGAGTGCCCAGCAGGAGGTTGCCCAGGATGTCGCCCGCATAGATGAGCATCAAATTGGTAAGCCACAGGGAAAAGGGCTCCCACTCCAGGCAGCTCCTGCGCTTGACCTTGGGCCCGCTCCTCGATTCGATCTCCTCGCGCAGCTGCTCCGCGATTAGGGAGTAGTGGAGGGTGCGGAATATGATGTGGTTGGGGAACTGCCTAAGGATCAGCTGTGCATTCATCGCGATCAGCTGTCCTGCACACACACACACACACACACACACACACACTGCTGCTGTTTGCTCCTAAAATCTGCTTAGCTTGCTACTGGCTCTTGGGTCTGCGATCGAATGATCTATGACCTATAAATTTTGTGGTCGGTCTTCGATTGATTCTTGCACTTTTTTCATATAAAATCCAAAGAGTTTTTCTTAAAATCTAATGAGTGTAAAAAACGAATGTAATAAACGAAATGTTGACAGGAGAAGCGCCGCTCTCTACACTGGGGACGACAATAGTCGTAGGTTCTGGTGCTCATCGTAGGTCCTCGCCGAGAGGCTGCGTGGTCCGGGGATTAGGGAGGCAAAGCTTATGTTCCGCACGGGCTTAATCCGTGGCAGCATCTGATGGACAACTGGTCGGGCGGAGTACGTGAGATGGGCAGGGGTTTGGCTTGGGCTTGGGCTTGTGCTCTGGATGGACACGAGGTGCTGCTGCGGTTGCTCCTCCTTGTGGTAGCTAACGATGCGCAGTGTGGGCTGTTCCACCAGCTGTTGATGCTGTTGATGATGTTGATGCTGCTGCTGCTGCTGCTGCTGGAGGATTAGCGATGGCTTTGCTGGCGAGAGTCGTGTGAAGCTCTGGTGGGAGATGGCGCTGGCTGTGTGTCCATTGCCATGCAGGATTGTGGCTGCCTGGCTCTGGCTGTGGCTCCCACTCAGACAAAGGAGCAGTACCAGATATAAAGCCTGTTGAAGAGTGGAATAGCTGAAGCATGACTTAGTGCTGGATGTGTGTGGGTGTTTACTCACGGCTCTGATTGAGATGCGCATGATGGTCCCTTGAGTGGAGAACTAATTACCGTTAAGCGTGTGCCGCTGCCATTTATAGGTGGATATGGATGGACTCCTCATGGACTTGACCACATGGCAAGAGGTCGCCCCCAAAAAGAGATTTATTGGACATTTTATACGCGTCTGAGTATGAGTATGAGTATGAGTAGCTTAATTAATTAATCAAAATGTACTTCAAAGAGACAGCTGCGTGCACTTAGAGCTACCATTACGCGCCGCCGGCTAATCTGTGGCTGTGGTAGCCAGAGACCTCAGGCCTCAGACCTCAGTCGGAGACTGAAGAAACACCACCAATACAGCTATTGCTTGGGCAAACAAGCCGCCGCAAGTGGAGACGGGCCCAGAGGGGTGGAGCGTCGGTGGAGGGGGAGAATGGTGCGATATGTGGAGTGGATCAACCTTCAGCGGGTTGCACAGGCGCAGGCGCCGTCTCCGTCTCCATCTCCATCTCCATCGAATGTTGTAGCTTTTGGCTGCTGTTGTTGCTGTTTTTTCCGTTGTTGCCGTTGTTGCTTGTGGTATTATTATTACTACAATATTTGCGGCGTTCGGTATTTATTTATATATTTGATTTTTCTATGCCTTTTTGTTGTTGGTTTGTTTTTGATTTTGGCTTTGCTTTATTTCTTTACGTAAAGTTGAGTCCAAGTTGAGACACTCCCACAATTGCAAGATAACCGCGACTGCGCGCGTGTTTCCAACGCTTCGAATCGCAGATCGTGTGCCGCGAGGCAGTGGAGGAGTCGCTGGGGGACACTACAGAGTACCCCCCTCAAGTTATAGGGAAGCCTGCCTCTGGGTGCGTCGGGAACTGCTTTACAGTGATTTCATGGCACAGCAATTCACACAGCACTTCAGTTTGACTTTGCCACTCGCTCCGCTTTGTGTTTTTCTTGAATCGAGACTCGATTCGCTCCGATCTACTCGATCTACGATCTCCGGTCTCTCGTCTCTGGTCTCTGGTCTGCCGCCCACCACAGATCTCTCCTCTGTGGTTCTGTCTCCGTAATCGCCCCATTAGGCCCAACATCGATATACACATATTATATAAAATGCGGCATCTGGTGAGTGTGTGGGATGATGATGATGCTCCTCCATTCAGACAGAGAACTTAAACTCCTTTTCCCCCTGCAGTTGCTGTTGTTCGTACTCTACCTGGCTCTGTCGCTGGCCAAACCGGCCACGGAGGCGCCTCGCCTGCTCATCGACTCTGCCCCCTCGGTGGTTTCCTACCAGGGCTCCTCCCAAACGCACACACGCTTCGTCATTGCGCCTATGGGCAGGGCCCTGGGCTACGTGGAGCCCACGAATCTCAATCGGACGTTCCACACAAAGCCCACGACTCGGGAGGAGGGCTCTGGCTATGATCTGCTCAATCTGAGTCCAGTTTATGTGCCGCATAATTGATTAGGTTGCATTATAGATTGTACGCTTAGAAATATCTAGTTGAATTCGAGTAAATATATGCCGGCGATGCCTAAAACAAGGGAACATTGGATTTACTTGTCATTTTTGACATATACTGTCACTAGCGGTGACTTTCACTTTCTAGCAGAAATAGTCGTAGTAGGCTCTGTCTGTAGTGGTTGTCACTATTTGTGCTCCACTTTTCATTCTAAATACTAGTCTACTCGAATAATCATCAAATAAAATGGATAACCGAAATAAAAGAAACGCTTCACGTACCGCTACCGGGCTCAGCGGCAGTATGGTGCCGTTTTCATTGATGACTCTGCGCGAGATGGATGACATAGAGGCCAAGGGGCAGGACGCCTCCGTGGACGCGTACGAGGCGAGCACTCGTGCCTGGCGCAACCAATTCAAGAATCCCAATCTGGTCCCCAATCCCATTGGAATGGAGTTCTCGAGCCAGCGCCGCCTATCTGAGGGATCTTCGGTGGGCACTATTAGCCACTACTCGGAGAACGATAATTCCCCGGCAGCCACTCCTCAGCGCGCTGTCTCGGCCGAATCTGACTGTCTGGTCGTCTCGGACCACGATAATCAAACACAGGGGTACGTGACACCCATACACCCATCCACCGATTCCTTATAATAAGTGCCCCCTTTTTTGAAATAGTCGCTCCCGTACCTCGGACACCTCCTTGTCCCGGAGCTTCCGCATCTAAGCGGAGTCCAGTCGCGAAGCCAACTGTCGCACGGATGCTCTGTAGAGCTGACCGTTTTTATGGAGCGTAGTCGGTGCCTTCTCATCTTTCTCTGTGCGGAATTAAATGTGCATTTCATGTTGTTTTATTTGACACCATTCGTCTCTCTTTTGGGTTTCTACAGAGGGAGGGAGCGAGGGACCTTCGCCACATCTGAGGCCTGAACCCAAGTGCCAGCGAAGGTCTGCTGTGGTTTGTGCGCCGTGTGAGTGTCGTATCCATGATTCGAGTCCCCATTGTCAGACCTTTTGCAGCCCATGGGTAATCGATTGTCTAGTTGATTTCTACGCGTACTCGTAATTGTCTATGGATTCGCAGATGTTTAGGTTAGCGTCGGTCGGTCGGTCGGTCGGTGGGGGGTTCAAGTTCAATGCTGGACAGATTTCAGCAAACGAGTTTGCCAATTGCTCGTTAGTCTCCCGCTTGAAGGACAATCTGGCAAACAGTTTTGGCCATATAAAGCCGTAGACACGCCACAGCATCAGCAACAGTCACTCGTCGACTTCAAAGCAAACACCAACCCAAAACGCAAACACCAAATCCCAAGCACCAATCACCATGTTCCGCTTCGTAAGTAATTGGCTCCAATGGAGGCAAAGAGGATCCTTCCACTAATTCCACTCCAAACTTCAGATTGCCATCTGTGCCCTGGCCACCATTGCCGCCGCTGCTCCAGGATTCGTTGAGCAGCACCATGTCGGACATGTGGTGGCCGCTGCTCCGGTCGTCACGAAGGTAGGAGCCGTCGTGCACAGCGCCCCGGTGGCCACCTCCCACCAGAGCTTCACCCAGTTCCACAACCAGGCCGTGATTACTCCCGTCGTGAAGCACGTGGCTCCCGTGGTTCCTGTGGTCAAGACCTTTGCCCCCGTGGTGCCGTCTCCCGTGGTGCATCATCAGACCTATGTCGCCGCCCCCGCTGTCCACCATGCTGTCCCAGTGATCAAGTCTGTGGCTCCCGTCGTTCATCAGACCTACGTGGCCCCTGCCGTCCACCATGTGGCTGCTGTGCCCGTCGTCAAGGCCGTGCCCCATGCCGTCTCCCACCAGAGCCACGTCCAGATCCACCAGAAGGCCATCATCGCCACCCCCGTTCTGAAGACCATCGCCACCCCAGTGGTGCCTGTGGTCAAGGTCGCCGTGGCCGCCGCCCCCGTCACCCATGTCTACCATCACTAAAGAATTCCGTGAAAATCTTTTTTTGACTCGATTGTTGGCTATTTGAATAAATTTATTGTTAAAATTGCAATTGTAAAGTGAGTGCATTTCATGGGAAGGAATAGTTATAATTTTTTTCTTCATATTTTCGGTGAATGACAGATGACAGGCTCCTATCGGAATTTGTTGATATGTATCATGTATGTTATCGATAGTTTTTTCCCATCCCTATTCAATTTAGCAGTGCATTTATTAGCAAAATACTTAATTGGATCGGAATATATCCTATTCCACAACCAACTACCGTCAATTTGAATGATTTTTACTTAATTACTATTCATCACCATTAATCGTCATGCTGCAAACGGTATCAAAAAAACCAAAGTTACGAGCAAATCAATTTTAAAAAATAATTAAAAAGATGCCCCTACGGCTAATAATTTGTGTGCAAATCTTCGACTAAATATTTTTCAAGCTCGATTGAAAGGCAAAACCACTAACCATACAGATGTGCCAGTTCGTTAAACGCACGTCGAACACAGACTATTGGGTCCCATGGGGTTCGGGTCTGGAGTTCGGCTTCCGTCGCATCATACTGTAAACCATACAGTGGCTAATTTTTTTATCGAAGCACGTTGGCAAAAAAATTCAATACTATAGGGTGTATAACTCGTACATAAAGGTATGATATATGAAAGAATTCGAATTACGTTTGCGTAATCTCACTTAAGCCTGCTTTTGTACATTGGGATGTCTTTAAAATTGGAATAATATACTACATGGGTAGGTAGTAAGCAAGGATTGCTGACTGTAATATAAAATGGGCTTGATTTACTAAATAATTCGTACCTCTGACATTCTTTGGAAAATTGTAATGATTAGTAGCTTAATTGGTTGAGAATTAATGCCACTGAAGAACTAATGTCTAAAAGTAGAAACATAACATAGAAAAATTTTTTTAGATATGACAAAGTTGAAGAAACAATTAATTTTTCAACCCATCAATTGCGTGGATATCGCCACTATCAATGTCAAGTAAAAATGATGTCTCCAAATCCTTTAATTTTTTAAAGAAAACGTGTCGGCAGCGGTGTGGCCATTCGGATGCTTCTAAGTCTGACATCATTCAGGCTCATCCCTGATTGGTCGTTCCTAAAGGACATTTTTCTGTTGGGGACTTATTTAAGCCCCTGCTTTAATACTGAGTTTACCAAAAATGAAGATTAAATTGCATGCCCGAACCAAAATTCGACTTTTTGTTTCCCCATAGCTTTTTGCTTTCAAGTCCATATTCCATAATGGTTCACATCTTTTCAAGATATTGACAGTTGCTTACCATTATTTCTTAAACCTTTGTGGGGCCACTTTCCCCTCTTAGTGTACCGCCCTCTCCCCCAGAATGGTATTAGACAATAGTTTCTTGTAATACTTTTGTTTTAATCGATTCGCTCAACGTTCTCCTCAGACATAACAGTATCCTTTATCAACTCGCTTTCAATCGATTCACTTGTGGTAGGCGGAGTAAACAACGGGGGACCCGGCCACGACGGTGTGGAGCAGGGGAGCAGCTGGGACGACGGTCTTCACCAGGGGAGCAGAATGCACTGTGTGGACCAGAGGAGCAGAGTGGACAGTGTGGAGCAGGGGAGCAGCTGGGACGACGGTCTTGACCAGGGGAGCAGCATGCACTGTATGGACCACTGGGGCGGCAGGCACGATGGTCTTGACCAAAGGAGCAGCCGGGACGACGGTCTGGTGGACGACAGGAGCGGCTGCATAGGTGACGACTGGAGCCACTGGCACCTTGCGCACCAGGTTTACGTTGCTCTGGTGGGTGATGGCCGAGGAGGCGCTGTGATCCACATAGGCGGTCTTGGTCAGCACCGCGGGCTGGACGTACGAGTGCGTCTCGGCGATGAGGCCAGGAGCAGCGGCAGCCACGGCCAGAAGAGCAAAGAAGGCAACCTGTGGGTCACGAGAGGTTTGAATACTCGTATTAGGATGCATGTTCTATTCCCTGATAGATATCCTGATGGACTTACGAATTTGAACATTTTTGGAGGAGGTTTGTGCTTTGATGGGTGAATCGATTGCAACTGATGATGATGACGGGCCAAAGTGCTGGCTTTTATAGTTGGCCAGCCTCAGCCCAAGTCCCAGCCCCAGCCCCAGCTTCGATTGTTTGTCGCTAAGTACTTCGAAGCCTGAACTTGAGCCCCGCAACCGGTTTGGGTTTTAGATATTGTGTGTGTTTCGGATCGGGCTTGAATTTGGGCCCTGACTTTGGTTGAGTCTTACTTCTGAGTAAGGGGGCTATCGGAGACGCAGTTCATTTAGTGACCTAGGCTCGCTCTGCCTGCGCTCTGCCTGCGCTCTGCCTGCGCTTTGCCTCAGTGCCTTTTGTGTGGGTGAGGAAGTGGATTCTGGAAGCTGCAGACAAGACAAGAAAAGAAAAGGCATCCCAATCAATCGACAAGGGGCCAACCAGTAATTGGCCTTAGCGACGGCGGTCGCTTACGCAAATGATGGGGGAGTGAACATACTCGAGCACTCGGTAGTGCAGAGTGCGTGGGTTGCGGCTTATCCGTGCACTTGCCCTCCGTTTGCGGAGCGTCGTCTTCGTCTTTGCTGTGGCGTCTTTCCATCGCAGCGAGTACGAGGAGGGGTGTGTATCCTGTTTGGCGTGCGTAATTGAGTTGCATTCACATCCCGTTGACAGTTTTATGACAGAATTCTCAGGGAATCGCCCCACCCTCTGTTTCTGTATCTGACTTCTGTATTTGCCTCCGCCTCTGCCCCTGCCTTCTTCTGTGGCGCTGCTGCTAAAGGACGTGCGTCTCTCGCTGTGCGGTGTGCCTCATCAATTGAAGGAAGCTCCGACTGAATTATGTGACGTTCAGACCTTTAACCACATAACGTTTGATTAGGTTAAGTTGCGTCTCTCTAATGAAGGAATAAATGGAATGTGCAATCGATAAGAGACACTTAAGGAACGAGAAACAGGAAAACAGGTAAAGGTTACGACAAAGTTCTTGCGAAATAACGGGACGATGTTTAGGCTTTGCGTCTAGACAGACAGGTCAGAACTCTCACCATGGACGGTATTGCCTTCATGGCAGAGCATTTCTCGATTTTCTTCTGAATAGAGATGATTCATAATACTTTAAGTCAAAGGATGCTTCCCAGAACAAACAGTCGTACGAGTAATAACCATCCCATTGAACACTCAACGCTTGACCCAAATCAGAACTCCCGAAACCCTCGACAATGATATACTCGTATGCTGTGCCCTTCATTAAAAGGGCATAAACAAAAGCGAAACAAATTATACGAGTATGTACCAGTATCCATCCATCCCCATGTGCATTCAAATTGGATTGCAACACATCGACAGATCCAGTTGATGATTGCGGAGTGGCGTGGCTCAAGTGATTCATGGCCGAAAGGCCGTACAGCTCTACAGCTACCAACTGCAGCAGCAAAGGCAGCAGCAGCAAAGGCGGCAGCTGTTAAGTACCCTTTTGGAGTGTCAGATAAAGACTCCAGACAGAGTCACAGACGCAGATTCGGTCGGTCCCTATGTCAAGGTTACCCACTGGACAAGCCCCACGCGCATTTAACCCACAATTTGTGTTGGCTTGTCTTGTTGTTGTTGCTGTTGGGGCTTTTCGGGGCTCGACTTGAGTCGACAGTTACACGTACTCAAGATAAGCATCGCATCGGGTCGTAATGTGGAAAATGAATAGCCAGAAAATTATTTCTGTTTCCTCAAGAGTTGTGCTCGTAAATCCAAATTTTATGGAGTGTTTGTGTCTTTTATGGGTATGGGTATGGGTATGGATATGGGTATGGATATGGGTAGGGGTATGTACTACATATTAATTATCCAAGAAAGAGCCGAACTTTTGCAGGACAACCGAAGACAGAGAGAAAGGTCTGGTGTCTAGGGATCACTGATCTGTACAGGTCGTGTTATCTATTCAAGTCTGTTCAATTCAGTGATTGGCTATGGGCTATGTAGGCCCGTTGTTAGACCTTCGGCTAATAGAGCATATCATTTGTCATATTTTTCGCTTGACATTTTGGCACTATTTACTCGTATATAAACGGGTGGTAGGCCTCGATGGGCTATGAGTTCTTACTGGAGTTTCGCAGTGGCAAATTCAAACTAAGACTAGATCCAATACCCAATTGCTTCAACATGCATCGAATGGTGAGTTACCCTTTAATTTAAATGGACCCCCTCCCCCGTTACTCATATTTTGCTCCCCTACAAACCCATAGCTGCTGTACACTTTGGTTATCGTCGCCCTCGCTTTGGTCCAGGCCTGCCATCAGATCCATTATAATCTGACATTTCCTGCTGTGAATCAAGTCTGTTCTGAGCTCAGCCTTGGCCAGAGTTTGACGAGGGATCTGTCCACGATGTCGATGTCGTTGTCGGTGTCTCCTCTGGCGCCCAATCTTTGCCGCCATGGGAACCATTTTACGCTGGGGCATTAGTTATTAACCATTAGCCGTGTATTGTTGTTTGCTTTTGTTATTGCTTAAATAAATTGTTTTAAATTATTTATCATAAATCTGAGAGATTGAATATTGTCGGGCTTCTGGAGGGTCCAAGGGTTTCTGGTTTGAGTTCTCTGTTGCAAAACTTTTCGGTCATCTCTTTAATGATTGTAGGAATGGGAGGATAATTTCCATTTGTGTTATATCAGCGACTTGTATGCCAGCATTTGTTTCTTTTCAATACGGATTTTTCTTTCTACTGTGATACCGATTAAACGTATCAAACAGAGGTCAATCAATCTGCTCTTCCATTTCTAAGATACAGATACACTTTGTGTGCTTTGGGGTACCGTCATGCTGCAACATATTGGCTTGCAACATACGAATATTCTTTCTTTATTATTGCATCGATTTTATAACAATTTAAGGGCCTTTAAACTGAAAAGTGCTGAAAATGTATCCATGCATGCTCTCCACTGTACATCTTTTAACAACCATTCTATTTTTGGATAAACATATAAAAAACCATACAAATTTAAGGATGAATAATACTTTCAGTAGATTTATTTAGTTTTCTCATTTAGTGGTTAACAAAAAAAAAAAAAAAAAAAAACAATAATTTAGATTCTAATGATGCAGGGTGTAGGCCAGGGGGGCAGCATGATGCACCACAGTCTTGAGGAGGGGAGCAGAGTGCACAACAGGCACAGAGTGGACCACAGGAGCAGCGTGAACGGTGTGGACGACAGGTGCAGCGTGGTGGACAACGGGCACGGAGTGAACGACGGGAGCAGCATGGACAGCCACGGCGGGAGAAGAGTGGATGGTGGTCTTCAGGACGGGAGCAACCACGGGCTGGATGTATGACTTGCTGTGCACCTGGGTGATGCTCTGATGGGAGACAGCCGAGGGTGCAGAGTGCACCACGGTTCCAACCTTGGCGAGGACGGGCGCATGCACCACATGGTGGGTCTCGATCAGGCCAGCGCTCACAGAGGCGACGAGGAGGGCAACGATGGCAACCTAAGAGAATTGTGGGTTAAGTATGGATGTTGCTTCCAAATCTTCAATTTACTCACGAATTTGAACATTTTTAGTCGGTTTTTGGGTGGTTGTTTTTGGGGGAAACTCAGAGAGATGACTGATGCTGTTGGGATCTGCACGAAGAGCTTTTATAGCAGTCGCCAGCCCCTGCTAAGGGCTCAAACAGCGGCGACCAGCCACCAGCTTCGGCTGCTGGCGAGGTCGTCCACCTTGAGGCGCATTCGACATCCGACAAGTCCACAGCCACTTCGGCATTCGGGTATCAGCACTTCGGAGATCTGCAGCAACCAGCAATCGTAATGAGCTGAGGTCGGTTCGGCTCACGATCTGTTCGGAGACGAAGTCGGGTTATGCTGGGGTGTAGTGAAGGTCAGCGATGTTTTGATTGCCGTCGACTCGAGCGGAGTTTGGTTGGTTCTATAAAAACGGAGTTTGGAGCTCCCAATCATCATCAGTTATCCATCGAATCTTCTCGTGCAAACAAGCAGCAGTCACAGCTACCACAAAATCAACTTCCAAAATGTTCAAATTCGTAAGTTACTTCTGGAAGAAACCTTCCTTTAACTCTATTAACATTTCTCCTTCCCAAAAAGATTGCTATTGTTGCCCTCCTCGTCGCCTCTGTGAGCGCTGGCCTGATCGAGACCCACCATGTGGTGCATGCGCCCGTCCTCGCCAAGGTTGGAACCGTGGTGCACTCTGCACCCTCGGCTGTCTCCCATCAGAGCATCACCCAGGTGCACAGCAAGTCATACATCCAGCCCGTGGTTGCTCCCGTCCTGAAGACCACCATCCACTCTTCTCCCGCCGTGGCTGTACATGCTGCTCCCGTCGTTCACTCCGTGCCCGTTGTCCACCACGCTGCTCCTGTCGTCCACACCGTTCACGCTGCTCCTCTGGTCCACTCTGTGCCCGTGGTCCATCATGCTGCTCCTCTGGCCTACACCCTGCACCATTAAGGAAGTTCTCTGCACACTCCTGGAAATCTTCATTGTGATAGAATATTTACGTTTTTTTTTTTTTTCAATAAATGTTTTTCGTTTCGTCCATAACAAGTTAATTATATAATGTCCTGTACTAGCAGTTTGATGCAACAAATAGGGATTTCGAATTGGTATTCCTATAGAAGCGGAATACGCGATTTAATGTAAATTCTACATGTGTTCTACATGAAATCTACACGTCTCTTCGATGCGATTTTCGTTGCTTACTTTTGGGCTGGACGATAATGGTTCCTTTAAGCCGAGAAAACCAATTGATTTTCGCTCGCTATATACATACATAACAAGTATGTGTAGGTATTTTATTGCTTGAAATGTATTTTAGTTTGTAAACATTTTTTTGTAATTATTTTTTCTCAACTTTGCTGGTTTGCTTTCTTTATAAACAGTGGACAGGATACTCGTAAACTGGTGAAATATTCCGCAGGAAAATGCTTGAGTTTGAGGAGTGGAAGGAGCCTATGGCGGAGTGGGGGTGATGTGTGGCAGACCTGTGTCCGTTTAACCAATCAAAACGGGGCCATGGATGCCATGGACGCTCTTGAGGACCAGCGGCGAAGGATGTACCTGAGTGATGGCCGCATGGGAGATGGCATGGGGCACAACGCTCACCACATGGGGTCCACCGATGATGGTCGGTCCCCAGATTCCGGGTGCCACCAGACCGCCAGGCCACAGACCAGATGGTGCTGGTTCTGGGACAGGAGCAGGAGCAGGAGCAGGAGCTGGGGCGGCAGCAGCCAGGCTAAGGAGAGCGACGAAAACACACTGCAAATGGACAAATTAGATGAAAGATTAGATGGTAAGTCCTCCCTCTCAGAGCCTTTCCCACTTACCAGCTTGAACATTTTGTTGTGTCGATGGTTTGTAACGATTTGACATAGAACTGCACTCTCGACTGTCCTATTTATACGAAACAATCAGAACCGCTGCAGTCGAAGCTCTCTAAATGGGTCGCTCCATCGAATCAGATCAGCCAGCAGCACGCCTCTGCACTCTGCTCTGCATTTGGCCCGGCAACTGCAACAGGCAACAAACACGGTCCACGCTCTATGCACAAGCCAAAGCAAACCAATCCAAACCCTTCCGGGGGCAAGTTCTCGTCTTACATGCACCGCCGGCTCGTACAGGTTCTCCCAGTGGCTGTTCTGTTCTGTTCTCCCCCACTTGACTGGCCACCACTCCAAAGCTATTCGATTTCGCCTTATGATTTATGCAATGCAATGCGAGGCGAGACATGTTTTACGAGTGTCGCAGACCCCTTCCTAGCTCCCAACGCCACAGTTCGTGCTATACGGCATACACTTGACACTGTTGCATGAGACGCATGAGACGTCTCACAATTAAGCAGACAAATAAATACTCGTACTCAAGCAAAATATCTACTTAGCAATAGGAGAGTCTCAAAAGAATCGACTAAAGCGGCTTGGCGGCTTGTCGGTTTACTCTGGTTTAGGTTCCCTGCTCTTTGCACTTTCGGCTTGCATAAATTACGTCCCCAAGTTGGCGAAACGGTGATTAATGTGCCTCGCCAGTCCCAGTGGACTCGCCTCGGGGCTCAGCCAATCGCCAGAGATTGGCTCAGATGTTTGTCTTGTGCAATAGTGCGACACTTGCACATCAGACACATTTTTATCGCTTCACCGTCGTCATCGAGAGTCGGCAGCTATTATTGTACCTAATAATATATAGTTGCCATGGGTATCAGCAGGGGGAAGATGTACCAGCAGTCAGGAATAGAGGAATACAGAAACCGAGAACATATTCTATAGTTAGATATTTTCACATGGATGTGGCATTAAGTGTTCTGTAAATGCCTGCTGCTTCTGGTCTTTATCTTAAGCTCAAGCTTTTATGTAGCAGAAAAAGGTTTGTTCAATGGAAAATGTAGAAAATCGACTCTTAATCAGTTCTCAAGCATCTAATGCCCAACACTGCTAGTGTGACCGTGCCACCACTTCCTCTCGGGGTCTCCACTTCACCTTTTTCTCCATTTGTTTGCGTACATTTAACGAGCTACCGAATCACGTGCCTGAGAAATCATTCAAAGACCGCAGTCACCTTGCCAAATAAATTATTGATTTATTTTATTTTGCTTGCCTCGTTTGCCGGTCAGCGAACCATGGAATCGAGCAGAAATTGCCCAAAACAATAACCGATTTGCGGCTAATTTAACCGATGAAAAGACAAGCCCAAAACAGAAACCGAATAGTTTTTCAGGGTTACGGCGAGCTTGTAGACTTGATTGATATTGATTTTGATTTGTTTTTAATACACCAAACAAGGAAGCATTACAAAAAAAAAAATAAAACAGAGGCTTAGTTCTTAGCTATGGGAATGAATAAATAGCATGATCGTGAATCACAAATGATCCCCCTTAACTACGCCTCTACGCCACTACCGAACCCATGAACTATTAAATTTATTACAAATTGGCAATTTCTAATTGATGTTTATGTCACATTAAATGCTTGCGACTCTCATTAGCTTATTCTTATGGCAATGTTTGTCGATTCAGTTGATTCTGAATGGGAATAATCGCTGAGCGGAACCAGTGTTTGCTGTGTGGGGTTAAAAATACACGTACTCGTACTCGTACTCGTGCCTGGGGCAATTTGCATTTGCTTATGCAAAAAGTTGTGTAAATTGCAAAAGCACAAAAGATTTGAACTTGAACAGCGTAGCCAGCCCAGCCCTTCAGGCCTTCAGGATGTGCTTACAAAACCGAATCATTTGCAACAGAAGTGGCAGGCAGCATTAACCATTTATCACTTCGCTTGGCCAACACCTCTGCTCCCCCGTCCCCATCTCCATCCAGGGAGAGACCTAGTCCGCAGGCAGCACATGTGCTTATGCACTGATTTGCATAACACAGCAAATGCATTTGCTTGCCACATGAAGAGGCAACGTGTCACCATTGTCGCCATGGGAAATGTGCCATTCAATCCATCCCATCCCAAAGCTGTCTGTCGATGTCTGTCTCTGCTGGTGTGGTGTGGTTTGTCTGTCTGGTCTGTCAGCGTTAAAGTATCGAATGGTTTTTTCGGTTGATGGTGATTACATGCTAATTATGTCACCCGCTTTAGGGAAATATTTTATGCGGTTGCACGAATAAGCCCTCATTTAGACGAGAGTCGGACGTCACTGCGCGTATCCATTACAGAGACATATTTTCAATTTAGATATTGTATCTTGTATCTTTTATATACACATAATCAACACTAATATAAACAGAGGGAGTAGCATATCCATCCAGCAGTTTGCATCGCAATCAGCAGTCGATACACACATACATCACAGCATCCATCATCATTCATGATTTGCAGTAGCAGTATCGTATCTGTAGCATCCTATTCGTTCTTCGTTCCTTGTTCTCAGTTTTCATTCATCATTCGCGATCATTCAGCAGTCAGAGTGGCGGTGCGGCGATCAGTGGAGATGGTAGTCGTGGAAGTCATGGAAGTCATGGTGATGGTGCAGATGGAACGGATCGTACGGGTGATAGGCCTTGAAGATGGGAGCCGGGTGGTAGGCCTTGATGATGGGGGGATGCACTACAGTCTTCACCAACGTAGGCAGCACCACCGGCTTGATGATGTGATGGGGCACGCTGTGCACCACCGTGGAGCTCTGGTGGGAGACGGCGGCAGGCAGGTGCACGATCTTGGCCACATGGAGGGGCTCCACATGGTGGTGGTGGTGCGGGTACAGCGGGTATTCCGGATAGTGGTGATGGTGTCCGTGCAGGTAGCCAGGACGTGCTGCGGCCAGGGCGCACATGGAAAGAAGCGACAGTAGCTATAGGCGAAAGGATGGAATCCTTTTAGTTAGTTATCCTTAGAGAGGGGCGCATCCTTACCAGTTTCATCATGCTGTGGGTGGGTAATCCTTGGTGGTGGGTCTCGGCGACTTGCTGCTTGCAACTGATGCCACTCAATGGTGCAGCGGTGTCTTTTATTCACTTGCCACCTTACACCGCCGGCTACCTACCCACCGCCAACAGCTGGCATCTATGCCACAGATGCAGATGCTCTCGTTGCTGCAACTGCACAAGCTCCCAACTCCAGTCGCCTCGTTGCCATATCCGTTGACGCTGCCGGCTGCGACTTCAATGTTGTGGAACTTGGGTTTTTGCATCCGCAGTTGCCGTTGTAATTGCACCTCGTTTCGTTTACATTTCAATTGTTGTTGTTGCCAGAGCTGCTGCTGCAACTGCTGCTGCTGCTGCTGTCTGCCGTCTGCCTTTTCGCATAGAGTTTTGTCAAACGCCGCATTGTTCGACTCGCTTCGTGTCTGCGACGATCCATCCATCCATCCATCGACCCCTTTCAATCCAAAGCGCTGAACTCTGCCTTGCTGGGGTTCAATCTGGTGTCAGATCAATCCAGCTGTGCTCTTGGTTTGATACTCTTCCTTTTGAATGTCCGTTAGATTGATATTTGTGTCCTAACAGGGAATATTTTGTTAAAATTACTCATTGTTTATCTTTCACTCACCTTAGTTAACAGCGATATGTCATTAACCTAATTATCATGTAATTAACATATGATACATCGATACCAGCTATCGCCCTTGAACTGTTATCGGTAATATTAACATTTGATGTATCGATATCAGATTAAGGTTTACATAAGCTCAAAGCTCTTCTTCTTCTGTTACAAACCCATTCTCACAGCTAATCTACCTCTTTATTTTACAGAGTGCCGTGTTTGTGTGTTTTCATTCGTTTCTGGTAAGTTTTATAATAATATCCCAGCGATTGTGCTGTTCTCGATGTTTTGTCTACAGCAATTGGCAATAGTAATTGTTGCTGCTTCTGCTTATGCTGCAGATTAGCCTGGCAGCTCGCTTGCTCCGTTAGACTGCAAGCTGCAGCATACCAATGTGCTTCGATGTGTGTGTGTGCTTGTGTTTGTGTAATCTATGCCACTATTGTGACCTTCACTTGTTCAACCTGCAAATGGTTGTTGGTTTTTCTGTATTGTATGTATTTTTTTTCGGGCTTTCTGCATTTTTTCCTCGTGTATTTTTTGGTCAGCGGAAATTCACACTTGGCAATTTAATTGTTCCGTTCTTATGTTCCACTGTTCTACTGATTTTGTCTTGCAAATTAGTTGTGTGCCGTGTTGTGTGTCTATGTTATCTTTTCTTTTTGTCTGTGAATGTGCCATAAAAAGTGGCTCGACTCGTATCTGGGGTCTCTGTGTGAGAATTGAGATCTACTCGAAGATACATGGTTGTGTGTATGTTTTTGCCTGGCTTCATTTGTCTGCCATTGATTGTGATATTTAAGGCTTCCAAGTGTGCCCTGTCATCGACTGGAAAAGTTCATGAACGGCAGCGGAATGAGCAGCAGTGGAAGCTCCGTTCTCCGTTTTCCTCGCTCCGCTCCATGGCAAACTAGAACACTCGACTTTAAGCGGGCTTCGAGCACGAGCTCATTAGAATGCCGTTTGATATTTTGACAGGCAACACAACCTCCGCAAGTGCTGAAATGTCAGCTTTGAGAATCGGCTCGGCCGAGTGGTCGAGTCGTAAATTAATCATGATTTGCATTCAGCCTGGCAAATATTTGCACAACAATTCGCGGCAGTCTCCCTGGTTGCCCAGTCTCCCGATCTCCAGGTCTCCAGTCGCAGCACTAGCACTCCCCAAAAAAGCAGAAACCCAAAGAAAACGAAACGAAAATGAATTCAATTGCCTGGCTTATCTGGACCAGGAAGCACTGCATCTGCATCTGCAGCGAAACTAGTTGCAGCGTGTTGCAAGCGGCGCCCAGATCTGCTTTGGGAGGGGCCGGACCCTAGCTTCGATTCAGTTCAGTGGGTTAGTAGGGGCTACGGCTGCCCATAATAATTGTCGGCAGTCCGTGACAGCAATCTTCGCTATGGCATCTCTTCGGCATCACAGATATGTATGTTTTTTCAATGTTAATGCAATTAAATTCTGAGTTAGGCGATCAGGCAACGACCAAGTCCAAGCATCCGCTGACGCAGTGCCTCCAATTGGAAGCCGATGGCATAGCAGAGAATGCCGCAGCCAAATTGATGGACACATCTGACCTTAGCCGAACAGTGGACACTTGGCCACGCGGCCACTTGGCCACCTGCCGCCGATCGCACATTGAGTATACGCCAGAGTGGCCGCCACTTCATGCTGAGACCTGCTGGAACGTAATTACTCGAGGGGGTAAAGTCTTGAAATGAATTTTCTATATGCAAGCAAGCACCTTTTACGAGTATTATTATGGTCGCTCTACTTGCCTACCCCAGCGGGCGCCGTTGCAGTTGCAGTTGTAGTTGCAGCTGCAGCACATTTCTCACCCGTTTCCATTTGCGTAATGCTCCTTTTAGCCAGAGCAACAGACCAACTCCCTGACTGACTGACTCACTGACTGACTGACTGCCGCTTGGCGGATCTGACATCTGAGTGAACTGTGCCAAAACAGAGTTCCAAAATATCCAGGACAGGTCGCCTCAATCTTTGGCCGAAAAGTGTGGCAACTGCAGCCACTCGCTGGCAAGCGCCAGAGCACTTCGAACCCCCCAAAAACATATTCAATTTCATGCAACATAATGGCCATCTAATTTGGGGTCTTGATTGGTGTGTTACTTGCGATGGCAGGAATGCTTTTGTGCTTAAAGTTTATGGATAACTAAATGGGTTTGTGGGATGGGAAAAGGAAAGGAATGATTAGAGTGGAAATATATTTACTTAGAGGGTTGTTAATTTGGTTTGTTCATAAAAGAACAAGAGCCGAACGTTCTACTTCATTGCCTCTTTGGTATTTGGCTCATTTGACTTATTTTTTCCACCTGAATAGCACTCATTACTTCCTCATCTAAAAATTACTTGTATTGCTTACAATTTCATTCAGTTTCCCGATTCTGTACGTTCGTTTCTATAACGACCTTCGAGGCAATTAACTCTAGAATAATGACAAAGACAATTGGAGAACTGAAAAACCCACCGACGGACAGAGAAGTGATGACGTCTCTTGAACTGTCAATATCTTGTTCTTTCTCCGATATGTAATTGATCTTTAAGCGCGGCTTAATTGTGGTTCATTATACCCAGTTCCACTGAGATCAACGCGAATCGACTTTAATTAATAGCGAAATTGAGTTTGGTGCTAAGCGCCATCGATAAGGGGTAATCGAGAGCCACGGTCTCGAGAGCTGGGGAACTGGTTCCCTCCATGATAATTGGCCACAATATCTCGCTGTTGTTGCTATTGTTCGTGTTATGCAATGCAGAGGCAGAGGCAGAACTGTCACTTAGCAGCCGTAAGGTGGCCACAAGGCGTACATTACCCCCAGACAACACACCGAACAAGATCCCAGAGGAGATACTACCACAGAGGTGGCTGGAGGTTGGCGGAGGTTTGCGGAGGTTGGGACACCGCACAGCACAACACAAACAGAGCCCGGATATGGCCAAGGAATTTACCTGAAATAGAAATCTATTAAAAGTCGCTCAAGAATTTCGGCTAACAAAGCCATTCGATGCGGAGCAGGCCGCAGCAGATCGGAGGTAAGGGAGTTGTGTCGCCAGATCGAAACGAAACGAAGCGAAGCATTCATTAATCATGCTAAAAACTGCTGACAAATCACCATAACGGCGGCAAATACTCGCACAACTCTACTTGAACCAACACAACGAAAGTACAGTTGTGCTCGCGTCCCAATGTGTGTGTGTGGTGTGTGCGCCTGCGCAAAAGACACTTGGGCAATCGCAATCGATGTTTGCTTATTACACAAAGCGGAACTCCAGAGCCCGACCCAGAGACCAGTCCCGAGACCTGAGACCCGAGACCGAGCGCTGTTCTATAGTATGTGGGTTGGGTTATCGCTCGCTCGTTCGTACTATATAGGCATTGTTATGCCAGACAATTGCAATCCAAGATTAGCATAACCAGAAACTGGTATCCAGAAAGGAAAGGAGTCTTGGAGCTGTCCAAAGGGGAATAATCACAGTTCCAGTATGTTGGGAATCAAGGGAACAATAATACGTACAGAATGAAGAATGAATGAGAACTCTCTGAAAGCAACAGTGGATATAATAACATGACAAACTTGTTTTGGCTGTTCTGGCTGAAAATATGAAGAAATTCATTTTCATTTCGTTCAGCATTTGCCGGCTGGCCTACGTGAGGGGCCCACAAATAAGCCCCCAACTTTGTCCACATTCCTTTCTCAATCTCTGACGATTACCGCCTGCGATGGCCTTCTTTGAGTCGGAGACGTGGTTCCGACCATGAAAGATACACACGTACACGCAAGTGCGTTCGTTCACATTGAACTTGGGCCACTTTTGGGGCCTGGTGTGTCTGGTGTGGCTGCTGTGCGTGCGTGTCGCAGGTATGAAATACAAGTGCGAGTACAAGACATTTTCACGGTCAACTTTGAGGAAAATGACAGAGCGAACAGCATTTTTGCGACGACTTTGGCTGGCAGAGAAGTGATGCAAGTGCTGGCCGCTGACCGACTGCCCGAGTGGGCCAAATGGTCAGCATGGACTAGCGCAATACCAGACGGCAACGGCAATAGCAGCAAGAGCCAAGACACTTTATTTTGACTGGTTTGTTTTTTTTTTTTGCAACCTAATGGGGTCCGAAGTCTTTGGCGGACAGTGGGCAGTGGCCAGTGGGCAGGGGACTTGGGCGGGGTTTTGAAAACCGTAACCGAAGACAAAGGCGAATCAGCTGCTGTTGCACATGCAAACTTTGCCACTTGGCGCCTCCCTGGCCCCACTCTGCTCTGCTCTCTGGAGTGTTCGCTGCCGTTGGCGTTATTTTTCAGCTTTTCTTAACGATGGCGATGGAGGAAAAACGAAATACAACAAAAAATTATTATTATTGTGTTTTCTGCACTTTTAGATTCGGTTTTTCTTCTTGACGTGACGGCTGCTGCACATGGTTGGATTCGGATTCGGATTTTGGGAGTATAAAAGCCGGCGCGGATTTGGAGTATGCAACACAACCCAGCGAGGCGTCCACACAGACCCACAGTTCATACTTCAGCCAATAGCTAGCGCTTCAGAATCGCAAGGATTAGCAAAATGCACAAGTTGGTAAGTCGATCAATCCCTCCCTAAGCTCTTCTCGGTTTCTCCTTCTCACCATCATCCGCTGCTTTCAGGTGGTGTTCTTCGCTCTGCTCGCCGTGGTTGCTGCCCGTCCGGGTTACCTGGGTCTAGACCCCTGGAGCTATGCCGCTCCTGCGATCCATTATGAGCCGGCCCTGGCCAAGGTGGGCGCCATCGTGAAGACCATTCCCAGTGCCGTATCCCACCAGAGCATTAGCCAGGTGCACAGCTCGGCCCACATCATCCAGC